GGAATAAATCTCTGGCAAGTCTTCACTATAAAATTATTCGACAGATCACTCTCATCTTCTTCACCAACAAATAGTAACTGATAACACAAAATTAGACAGCGGTCAGCATATAAACAAATGAACAATAACACCGTCATGTGTTGAACAAAAGAAAACCCCCCAAAACATTTGACAGCACCTTGAAAGATGAGTATAGCAATATTCCTGCCAAGAACAGATTGACAGCCTCAAATCTCTGCAACAACAAAACAATAAAACAACAATGATACAGATGTTTAAACACTAATCCAAATCAATACTGAACCATAGAGAGATATATAAAGAGCCCCACATAACAAAATAAAAAATTTAACTCATGGCGCAGTGTTCACCTGAAGCGTAGCAGTTCCAAGAAGTATCAGCGACAAACGAAAGATGACTGCACCAGCAATGCCGTACGAAAGCACTCGATTCTATTGTCGCACATGATAACAGTTTTCATTACTAGATAGCAGTGTACTGTGTCGCATAGATGGTAATATGTTTCATAAGTAATGCAAGATCTTTAGATTGCCTAGCGGAGCTCCTTATGGTAACAATGAAAGCATAGACTGACCTGATACATGAGTGGCACTTTGAAATAGTTAAATATGAGAACAAAAACGAATAGATTATCCACGGACAAACTCTGCTCCAACAGGTACCTGAAATGGCACAAAATGTTTATCATGATTTACCTCAATAACAAACCTAAAGACTAGCTAGCAATGCGAATAAGGATGTCTGGAAAGGGAAGGGAAAGAACTGAACCAAATCAACTATACATACCCAGCAAAGAACTCTGATGCCTTGCCAACACCTTCGACCAGACCAATGCCAATGCCAAACGCCACAGCACTGCCAACCTATAAGAATGATTGACCGCATTGGTTCTAATCTTGACAACGCGATGCGAAGAACAATTCACTAAAAGCGAAATCGCAACAGAGTTATCCAGTACTCACACATAAAGCAACAGTTTTAACTGATGTCACGTATGTTTTATCTCTCTCAGCATTATCCAAAGACTCATCAGCATTATCATCATGTCTTTCAGAACTGATCTTCTCAGCTTCTACCAAGAAAGGAATTTATGTACCTCATTCCGATTAGCAAACTGTATATAAACTTAGAACAAACAATTCGTTCTGAAGTTGTGAATTGAACAGAAAATCGACCATCAGCTGGAAAAAACATTTCAGTAAGTCACAACACAAACCGGAGTTGGGCAAATCGCCCTCCTTCTCAGTGCCTTTTACACGAGCAATCGCACAATCCCGCCGACGAACTCCATGAATGGCTGAAAATCCATCAATTCACAATCCGTTTCAATCACCCATTGTTGATAAATGATAGCAGTAACTGGGTAAGCAACCAGGAAGGGAGAGAAACCTGCAGAGAGGGAGGGGAAATGATGCTGAACGAACTGAACCCCAGTACATTTGGGAGCAGTTAAAACCCTGAGCGAGAAAGGACGGAGCTTGACCGGAGCTTGAATGTCGACGTTGTGGATGGCTGAAGCGAGCCCTGAAACCGCTCGTGTGGGTGAGGATCTGATGTTGAGTTTGAGAACCATTGGAAGCCAAATTGCAATCGGGAAGAAAAAACAAATTTAGGCTTGAAGGAAGTGAAAAAGCCTCTTTGGTTCACCGCCTTGAAATGGCAACTTCTCTTGCTGTGGTGGCAGCAGCAAGCTTCCGCCTTCCTCTGCGTGTCGCCTTGTGGGAGGAAGTAGCGGCCCAAAATCAACGAGCGTTAGATCGGTTTGAAGCCGGGGATGGGCGGACGTCAGTGGAGGTATGGGGACGCTCCGATCCCCGAATCCACCGTTTGTTCGAAGTTGGAAATTATCAAAATGGTCATGTTACTTGTATTGGTATACTCTTCTAAGCAAAATTCGTGTTTCAAAACTTAAAAGTTTATTCATTACATTTTTAAATTATCAAAATATTTCTACATAAAATTGTAATTTTGATTGTATTGCTTTAACGTATAGGTCACAAATTAGGTTTGAATTGGGATCGGATAGTGTATATACATTAGCCTATTCAAAATAGTTTGAGTTGTATGAGTACTTTTTTTTAGGGAAGAGTTGTATGAGTACTTATACTCACACAATGATCGGGTAATGTTTCAATTTTACCAGATGTCACTGAAGGAACACACAACAATCGGGTAGAATAGCAAAACTATACTCATACATGATTGAGTTTCGAGTATTCACGATTATCCATGGATAATAATTTATATTTATAACTTCAACGAACGTGTTAACAATTACATGTATAATGATGTCATCGATTGTAGCTCGGGAAAATTTTACCTGGCCCAAAGGCCAAGATCGTATTTTCCTAGGGTCTCTCGCAGAATCCTTACTTTGATGGCGAGGTACGGTTCTGTTGATTTTATAAAACTATGTAGGATGTCGAGGTGCCTCCAGTTTTGCAAAACTAAAACTGAAAAGAAATAAAGTGCAGAAAAATAAACCTATACTACGATTGGTGGACGAAGGAGCAGAGAAGGAAGGTGTAGCATAGGCAAACTCCCCCTAACTCTCCTAGTCACGTATCCCTCGATATTCGATAACATACTACAAATTAAACTAATGTAGATAGTCTTTGAGACTTTTTCTTTCGGATTAATAGGAAGACAAATTCTTTGCTTGTAAATCTATTGTTTTACTTGCAAATTATAAGTTGTTAAAAGGATGCAAACACATGTTGTTGTATATAAGTGACACCAGTAGAAGTGCAAAAGTGTGAAGTACTCATCCCTTCTCGAAATAAGAAAAACAAACAAAGAGCACGACAATCAAGGCAGTTTTGTTTATATTTTTTTTAATCTTCTTCTCATTACTCTCACATTGTAGTGATTTCGATTATTATGTTAGTAATACTATCGTCAACTTCCAGACGCCACAAAACTATAGATTAAGAGCTTGTGTTTCTCTTGGTACCATAATGACTTTACCATACATGAATTGTGGCCTTCATTTTACAATTGGCCCGAGAGGTCCCTGCGGATCCTTCGAGAAAATTGAGGACTGGACAACTCCGGGTAATTAAATGGTTAATCATGCTATTTCCTTTTCTTCTTCTTGCGTTCTTTATTATTTATGTATCTTGCGCTTGGAGTAACAATTAATTAGTGGACAAGAGTCTCATCCGTGAGCTGACAAAGGTATTGCCCCAATTGCTAGACAAAATAGAGAGCCAAAATCCATGTATGATTAACAAGTGCAAAATAAAAATAATAAAGCAAGAAGAAGAAAAAGAAATAGTATGATTAACAAGTTACTCAGAGTTTTTCAGGCCTTAATTATCTCGAAGGATCCTCGAGACATCCGACCAATTGTAGAATAAAGGTTACAATCCATGTATCGTAATGTTGTTAGGATACCAATGGAAACACCTATTCAGCTTTGCCAAATTAATAGCTTTGCAGCATCTAGAAACTGGCGATTGTACTGCCAACACATAATAATCAAAACCACTACAATGTGAGAATAATGAGAAGAAGATAAAAAAAAAAACAAAAAACAGAATTGCTTTGATTGCCACGTTCTTAGTTTTGTTTCTTGCCTATGTCACAACCGTCCATCGGAATTGGGGATCCGTCGTGTGATGCTCGGATTCGCCATTGATTCGGGTTAGACTACACACTTTTGTACCCTTTTACTTGCAATGTTTGATGTATTTGCACCATCCTTGGAGCTAGTTTACACTAGGTTTGTTTGTGTTTTCGTCATGTGTCAGACCTTAGCAGGTAATATTGGCACAGGGATCAAAATCCGGACAAAACAGGGCAAAAATGGAGCAAAATGGTTGAAAGTTCAGAGATCACGGTTGCAGAGCAAATATCATGGCCCAGACCGTCAAATGGACAAGCAAATCGTGAAGATTGCGCACTTCCAAAAGGTTTCGTATGGCTCCCAAGTAGTGTCAAGGTCATAGTCTCCAAACTGTGATGTCAACAAGCAGCCCGTGAAGTTGGTTAGTGAAACGACACGTTTTTGCGGCGAGATCACAGTTTCACTGTCGACTTGACGGGCGTGATGTGAGAACGTGGTTTGTGCACTCGGGCTTATATAAAGGAGATTTGGCTGATTTGAATGAGGGAGTCTTAGAGAGAGATTGGAGCTTCTTCTTCGAGGTTTAGAGAGAGAGAGAGAGAGCTACGAGCTAGGAAGGAATGAAGGAGAACTTCACCTATCTAAGGCTAGAGGAAGGTTGATTTCTTCTGCAAAGGTTGAACCAAACATCTAAGAAGAAGGAGGATCAACTTGCAATGGGTTTTTCTTCTATCTTATTTGTATTTTCTCCTCTAGTTGTGGAGTAGTACACTACCAAAAACTAGGTTTTAGAGAAAAATAATTAAATGCAAATATTTCATTAGTCTCTATATCTACTCTTTAGAAAAATATACATTATAGCTAATCTTTCGACACAACATATTATTTGCTTCAATATGCCATTCTATCTACATCTGTTTAATAATAATTTATATTTTTTTCCTACAAAGTTAGGGGAAAATTAGTTGTATAAGCAATTATCCTATTTCCTTCTTTATACATAACTACATAATATTTAGAGAGAGATATAAGTGCCACACATAATATCTTATATCAATCTAGCACTAGAGGAAAATATAATTGTGGCAAATAACTTTTCATCAAAATATATTGGACGTTCATTAATAGGAGAGACGCTTGATATTTTTCACCACTCATCTTGTTCACCCATCCACCAAGGCTTTGCCCATGCCCCTGCCGCTAGGGGTGGCAGAACGGTTTCCGGTTAGCAGTTAATCTGACGGTTTCAACCGAATCGATCGGTTTTCGGCTAACCGAAAAACCGTTTCTGCTTGCATCGGTCGGTTGGCGGTGGAGATGGGAAGAGGTTCGGCTAGCCGACTAACCGGGGTCAAAAACCGGCGGTTAACCGGCTAACCGACCCCTTCCCTTTCCCCAAAACGACCCCGCTTCAATCCTCCTCCTCCCTAACCCTAAGTCGACCTTCGCCGCTCAACCCTTCCGCCGAGGCCTCCTTGGTCTGCTCTCTCTCAGACATACAAGAATTGGAGCCCAGAAACAACGCTGCTCCTCCCAGGCTCCTCGCCCTAACCCACGCCAGCTCCTTCAATTCTAGCCTGTAAACCTCCACATGATCCACCGTCTCCATAGATCTTGTCGAACACAGAAAAACCAGCACCACTTTCCCTTCCGATTCCACCAAGCACTCCTTGAAACGACGCCGCGTAGCAGCCAGATCTGAATCAGGAACCGCTCTCTGCTTCCCCAATTTCGTAATCCGCAGATCGGAGTTCACATCTTCTCTTCTACAACAGCGAGTGTGCCTTCCACACTCAGAGCATAGAATCTGTCCTGAAACCAGATCCCATTGCTGGTCGAGATGGTCGTCGATCGAGGCGCGGGTGAATTCCGCGGCGATGGTCGAGATGGTCGTCGTCGGGACGCGGTGAGCGCGGGCGCGGCGGTGACGCTGATGGACAGGCTGCCCGATTTCGACAAGTGCGACGCGGAGTGCGCCCTGGCGACGGTGGAGCTTCTTTGCCGCGTCCCCCTGGATGCGAGGCGATACTCAAGATCTCGGACAGGGCGACGAAGTACGCCGTCGGGGCGCTGCTGGCGCTGTGCTCGGCGTCAGAGAAATGGTGGAGGAAGGAAGGAGAGAAGAAGAAGTGGTTTGGTTTAGTGGGTGGTTGTGAAATGGTGGAGGAAGGAGAGAGAAGTGGTCTGGTGGAGGAAGGAGAGAGGATGAGATAAGGTGTGAGATGAGTGGTGCAGAATTTTTGGGTTTTTAAATTTTTTTAATTTTTTTATAGAAAAGCTAGTTTTCCGGTTGGCCGGCTAACCAAGCCTAAAACCGAAACCGACCGGTTGGTTGGCCGGCTAACCGTGACCTCTCTCACGGTCGGTGGTTGGCAGCTGTAAGTGGTGGTTCGGTTTAACCGATAATCGGGTTTTCGGTTTTTTGTTAAACCGAAACCGACCGACTGCCACCCCTACCTGCCGCTGCGGATCCATCCTCCTTCGTCTACCTTTCAAGTTGGCATCGACTTTGACAACCAAAATCCAACGATCTTCCCATCAGTTCCCTCCACCACGCGGCTCCTCTATGTGCACGATCTCCTCAAATATGCCCGCTCTGGCTCTCCCCTGAATAGCAGGTGCACCCATCTATTACTGTCTCCCTCATTCAGCATACCCTTGTCTGATTCCCATCGCCCACACAACCCGGCACCATCGTGATTGCACCGACCATATTCTGATTGGTGAGGACATCAACACCAAAGTAATCACAAGTCCAACATTTGTGCAAAATGATGCTCAGAATAAAGGCCTTATTACTCGAAGTCTGACAAAAGCATCCAAAACTCAATTACAAGCTTATTTTGTGGAGTACTTTCCATCTTTGGAATCTGGTTCATTCATGGTCAAGAGGTCAATATAATCCACGTGCAAGAGGAGAAAGAAGGGCATTCTTGATGCCCAAGTTGGTCAAACATGGAAAGGAGAAGGAAAGAGGAGAAAGAAAGAAATTATTGATGTCCAAGTTGTCAAAACATGGAAAGGAAAAAGGAAAGGGGAGGAGAGGAGAGGTGAGGTGTTTGAGCCTTTGAGGGAGGATGGAAGGTAGTAAATGAAGGTTGTATACTAGAAAGCCATCATAATCTCCCTAAACACATCCTCAAAAGTGCACTCTAATACAAAAGAGAAGCCTTTTGACGACTTAACTTGAACATTATGACTGGTTGCCACTCACGTGAGACCTCTTTTTCATTCAAAAGCACATTTGGAACATCATTTTTTATTCACATCATTTCAAGTCCACAACACGGAGAAAGTCATCAACAATGCAAAAATCACATGTCCCAACGCTACCAATCGACACATTAGCCAACACAAAACAAGATGGAAGGGAGATCAACATGGTTCTACACAAGCCTCCCTAAGTTTCAAGCTAACATGACATCAAACGATTCAAAGCATATTGAGCAAGCATACCAATGGACAAGGTGTCTGGAACCCTCAAATTTTTGAAATTTGGGCATAAAAGACTAGGTTCTAAGGAACTTTACACTAGGGAATTCATTCACAATCAATCATCAACGTTAACCATTCAACCCCCTCCCCCACATTACATTGTCCTCAATGGAGGAAAGATAAGAGGGTGGAACAAAGTTACCAGATTGGTTGTGAATGATGGAAGGGACCAAAGACGAGACACGAGAGCAGGTGTGATTCGAAAGAGTAATCCAACATCCAAAACACCACAAGCTCACGAAGGTTGAATTATTATCGTGGTTGGGTTACCTCCCAACAAACACTTCTTTCACGTAATGAGTCAGATGGTTGTGGTCAAGCTTTGATCCATTCCAAAACCTCCTTGAAGTTGAGGTTCTCTTCGGTGAGATAATGTCTCAAGTCCCGAGCATGAGATGCTTTAAATGTTGTGGTTGGATAGTGGACTTGATGGGAATGAAGGCTCCACTCACAAAACCTCTTCTTCTTGCCTTCTTCTTTGTTCTCTTTACCCCAAACCATATAAGACAACCTCGTTTTACCACCATAATTTCCACCATCAGGTACCAATTGTGGTGTGGCCTTGGTTTGGCAAAGAGAACCCACGAAAGGGTCCTTCTGAAGAAGTGCATCGTGGTCGGGTGGAAAGCTTTGGTAGCACGTGTAACTTGTGGAAGCTTCATCCACCAGACTTTGTCCATCGATCGGACACCAATTACTTCATTAACCTTCCCTCATTCTTCAAAAATTGATTCCTCCACTTGTGGAAGATCAAGAACTTTCGCTTCATGGCTTCTTTCCTCCTTCACAACTTCTCCTCCCACCTTTTCTCGCTCTTTCTCAAGCACATTATGGAGTGCAAGTTGCCAAGCAATGTCTTCAATAGTATCCACTTGCATCTCCTTATTGATTCCTAGCTCTTCAAAGCTCGAAGTGGAAGATGGAAGGGTGTGGTCTAAGCTTCGAGATCAACCTCCTCGCCTCATGGCAGACACTCGAACTCCGCCTTGAAAGCTTTATTATATATCCTCATCATGTTCTGATGTAGAAACGGGACCAACCTAGAGACGAGAACAAAGAAAATCACGACGCACTATCACAGATCTGTCACGACACCGTCAGACTCCTTCCCGCGGAGCACCTCGTCGCCCGATCTCCAAGAAATTATGTATGCTTTGTAATTGCCCCGTCGGGCTGAGGTCGTGGAAAAACCCTATCGAAATTGGATCCGCCAACGCAACGACGACGATTGAGTGAAGGAGAAACTCGGAGATATCGACGGCAGGGAAGCCGATACGGGTGATAACATCCCTGGCTGTCCGGAACATCGTGTTGGGGTCGTCATTGAAAGAATTGGAGAAGGAGACCGCGACAGAGTTTGTGGTGGCGGCCGAGGAAGAGCCAGTGAGGCGTCGAAAAGGTGGAACCACTTCCGTAATTAAGTCCTCCCTGTCAGCAATTAGGTGATTAGATTTTATTTTTATTTTTAATAATTTTAATAATGAGGTGGAAAAGTAAAATATAAAATTTTTTTATTTTTTAATTGGCAGGTTACTTATTTAACAGTTAACTATTAGAGTTGACTGCCATGTCAGTAAAATTTAACGGAGACTAACGGAGAGTGACAACTTGAACTGTTGAATTAATTTAAATATCTATGAATGAAATAAATTAATTTGAGTAGCAAATCTGAACTTTTTATGTAATTTCAGTGAGCAAAATTGTAATTTACCCGATTATTATTATGCTTCCCTCTTTTTTCCAACCCTCATTTATCCCATTACCCAGCATAGCACCATAACTCGCGACTCGGAACTCAGACAATCAAGCCCTAATTGCTTCTCCCTCCCGACTCCACCGACGTTCTTCTCCGCTGTGCTCGCACAATGGCAACCGAGGCCGATAAACCCACAGCCGCCGCCACCAACGGTGGTTCTCAAGCCAAACCTGCCAAGGAACTGCCCTCCACGGACCCTAATCTAGCCGAGGACTCCACCGTTGCACCGCCGTCGGACGATGGTTCGGGTAAGGAAGCTGTAGATGATAAGGAAGGGCTAGATTCGAAGAGCAACACTGCTGATGCGGGCTCCGGGAATGCTGATTCCATCACCGACACGGAGAGGAAAATCCGACGGGCTGAGCGGTTCGGGATTTCTGTTCAGTTCTCCGAGAAAGAGAAACGTAACTCTCGCGCTGAAAGGTACGGCCAGACCACAGTTTTATTTTGTTGTCTCTGAGGCTCATTTGTGCGATTGGGTTTGTTTGCATCTAGGGTTAAGGTTTAGGGGGAGCTTTGATTTTATATGCTTTTATATATGGCTGCACTTTTTTAGTTTTTTGTGGAGATATGTAATGGTTAGCTTAGCTGTTCGAGAAAGTTCTCATCTTCTTACAGATTTTACTTGCATGTATTCGGATGTAAGCTGCGAACTTCATTCTTCGCTTCATAGTTTTGATGGGCTACTGTTTTACTAGAGGTCATTTTGTCGTAAAAAGGTGAATCCACTGATCGGAAAGGAGGTTCATTCAATTGCTCAATAGACATTTCCATGAGTTCCCTTTGATGCTGATCATGTGTAGTTCGACTGTCGTATCCGTGTAGGTTGACTAGCCGGGTCCTTGGTGATAGGCGAATTCCAATGTTGGTTATCAGTTATGGGATAATCTAACAAGCTGTCTCTTGCAGGTTTGGTACTCCCTCAACAACGCAAGGTTCAGAGGCGGCTAAAACTGTAGAGGGGGCGAAAACTGCAGAGGGAACGAAAACTGCAGAGGAGTTAAAAAGGAAGGCTAGGGCAGAGAGGTCTTTTGTTTGTCTTTGTTTTAGGGTTTTTTTTCATTATCATACTCTTTGCTTCTCATGGTCCAGTTTGTTGGTACTGATATTTATGGTCTGTGTAGATTTGGGCTACCTGTAACAGCCGAGCCAACTGATGATGCTGCAAAAAAGAAGGCACGGCTGGAAAGGTTTGGATCGATACCCAAACCAGATGCAGCTGAAGATGACAAGAGGAAAGCCAGAGCTCTCAGGTTTGTATCTGTGGATGTTTTGATTCTTTTTCCCCTTCTCCATAAGGCGTTGGTGTCTAGAGACACTGAACTAACATGTTGCTTCATTTGTCAATCTTAGGTTTGCAGAACCTTCACCGACTTCACTCTCTTTGACTGAAGAGGGTGATATTCAGCCAGTAAGACCATGAGATCGAGATTACTTTGTATATGAATCCTTTTTTCTATCTCATATGCTTCCAGTTTACTTACTATTTTTTTTTGGTTATTTAATCAGGATGCCGCAATTGCTGGAAAGGCTGGTGGAGGGTCATGAATATGAAGAGAGATCCCCCTAGGCAACTGTTAGGTATTACTACTTCACATACCCTTCTTTTTTCCAGTTGTATATGCATTGCCAAGTTACTGATATAGCTCTCTGTTTGTATTTGTTTCAGTTTTAAATTTGCAGGTCTGGTGTTATGACTGGTGGGTGTCTAGTGATGGTCTCTGTCTTTTGTAATGTGAACTCTTAGCTGTTAACTCTCAGCAGTACTTCGCTTGGCACTGTTGATACTTCATAGGACCTGGGGCTGTATTTTAGTGATAGAGTCGCGTTGCGTTTATGTCTGTTTTCTTTTACCTCTGAATACCGATGCTTGTTTGGGGCTGAGAAGATTACACCACCACCACCACTTTGGAGTGTTCACTGTTTGCAAAGCCCTTGAGAGTATTAAGGATTTATGACTAAATTTAGGTGTCTTCTGAAACTGGCTTAGCCTTGTAGTTCACTAGTATGTCTAGGAGGTCAATGGGTCTGTCCTACATCTTAATTTCCACCTTGAAACAGCAGCTTGTTTAACATAGTCTCATGCAGCAGGAACTCTATATCTGTCCAGGTTTGGTGGTGACTGTGCATGCTGTGTAGCCCCCTTGAAATTGTGAAGTGCATGCTTTTTCTGCGTAAGTGGTTATGTCGAACATGTGCCACCATTAACCTTACGGGGCTCTATTCTCTGTTTTTTCTTCCGTCTGTTAAAACTCTTGTTTGAACTTCTTGAATTCTAGTGGCAGTATAGCCATAGGAAATGCATTATTGGGTTCAATATTATATGAAATGTTTCAGACCAGGTAGCCTTTCAGCTGAACGTGGCCGATACAATGCATCTTGTTCTTTTGTGGAAGATGGGATTACTGCTGAGTTCTTCGCTATAACCGTAGACTATGAGTCTTTTTTTTTTTTTTAAATGGAATTTCGTGCTAACAATCTCTTTTCTTTTTGTGGGTGTTATTGGATGAGTCTTATCTAAGGAGCTCTATTGTCTATTTTGTCTTGTTTGTTTTTGTGTCCGTTCCAATTTTTCAGTCGAACTCTCCTGTACTCTTGGGGTCCTTGGAAATAAGTGAACACTCTTAAAGGTCTGGTTGGTTTGTCTTGGCCTCATGTTGAATGGCTTTAAGCTGGAAGGTGGGTTTTCCATGGATAATGTTTTGGGAATGGTATTCGGTTATTAATTGTGGTTGTGTAAAACAGAGATTGTAACTGTTGGTTTATTTTTGATGAAAATGGAAGGCCAATGACTGGCTTGACAATGTGTGTCAAATTTTCTTGTGTTTGATTTTAGGACTTGGGATTCAAGAGAAAATAGGACAAATAACTGTGTTTGGTAACCTTTGGTATGATTTTAGAAATAAGTACACGACTAGGTCTGACTCTTTCTCTCTTTTCCACATCACGACGGCCCATCATCATAAAATTGCCCCCTTGAGATGAGGAGATGAAAATTCACGATCGAATATTAAGCCGCAAAGAGCAACGACGGTTGTTTGATGGATTGTGACGGGTAATGAGCTTTGAGAAGATGGACATAGTAACAAAAGTGGCTATTTTCAGTATTTCGTGTATTTCTCTAAAAGTGGTTATTATTGGTAAAATCGCAAAAGTTATGGCTATACAAAGTTACTTTGCCAGATATAATTGTAATTTCATGAAAAGGTCAGTACTTTTATTGGTATCGTCCATATTCGTTGTTATTTTCTTTTAATATAAATGGATGCAAGACATAATGATGCTCAATGTCGTGCTCGAGAGCCGTTGAGCTGCACATTTTGAGTCAAGCTCCACTCGAACCGGACAGTATCCAAGGTCTCACGCCAACTATAAGTCCTACAACCACTCTCAACTCGACCCAAGTGATATCCATATTCATTATTAGTACTTATAGATTGAGGATGGATCGCGTTTGAAGCTATGTGTTGTGAGCCTTTCTACTATGCTTTAAAGTATTGGTGCTTTAAAGTACAACTTTAAGTTGTACCACAACGTTAAAGGTACAAGTTAGAGTTGTACCATAAGGGAATTTGATTTTTATGTTGTGGTACAACTTCAACTCTTCAAGTTGTACAATAAGCTCTTGATTAGTTAACTTTGCATAACAATTTAATCATATGTTACTTTTGTCTTACTTTCTAAAATTATAGTTTACTATTAGACCACACATTATGAAATATTTGTGTAACAACATTTTATAACAGTTACATAAATTAAAATTTCAACAATGTTACTTACTATAACTTGATTTTATTATTAGGCCACACATTATGAAAATTTTATGTAATAACTATCTATGACTATGATTGTCACATGAGTTTTACCTGGCCGGTTTTGGGGCGGGTCCACCCCACCCCCGTAGGCGTGGTGGGGCGGGCATGGGTACTCTCATAGACCCGACCTGCCCTGACCCTCCCAATTCTCGATCCTTTCTTGCCTAAATTACATGTAATTTTAGTCAAATTACTTAGAATTTTCCTTTTATTACATCATATTTTAGCTACAATAAAGATGTAAATTAGTGAAAACCTCAATTTATCCAATAATTAAACTACATTTTTCATAATATTTTTTATTTTCTTGGTCTTATAATAAAAATAACGAATATTCCTAATGTTTTCATATAAATTGCATACCCATTGCGTCGACCTGTCCCGACCGACGACCCGTGATAAATTACCCGACCTGCCACGGGGCGGGTTTGGGTACCCATTGCCATTCCTAGGAACGTGGGCCAAAAAACTAGTTTCATATTAAACAAACAAATTTCTTTGATATAGTGAGGCATGGGTAAGAGATAAATATGATTATAGTCGAGTGATTAAGACATTGGATTCTCAAAAAATAGTCTAATGTTCGATTTTAGTAGTGTTCCATGTTCAAATTTATATAATAAATATTCCTCTACATTAAAGGTAAGAATTAATTTGTTGATATATTTTGTATTTTTCTTCATATTTAGAAGTGTGTATATCATTACATACAATCACACTATGCCTCAAATGTACAACTAGACAAAGCATATGTTGTTCATTGTGATAAATATAAGTCGTTGGTATTCTAGAAAGAAAACAAGAGAGAGTGTTTTGTGTTGAAAATATACAAATGTTATGCTGCCTGCAATTGACTTTATAGTGTAGGCGCTTAATTTTTGCTGACAAGTCTTAATGGAATATGAAATATTTCAACGTCTAAATTTTCTTCCAACTGTAAAAATGATGTCTAGATTTCAGCAATAAAGAGGGAGAAATGATTGAAAAAGGAGGGGCTAAAACCCTTATTATGCACTTATTTCTCTCCATGATTATTCTTGTTATTACTACGAGTAGAATGGTTCCACTTTCCTGCCTATTTATAACAGAATGAAAACCCAAAAGTATTAGAATGCGGGAGAAGAAGACAGAGTAAAAATTGCCTAAAACGGTGGGTTATTGCAAAATTGACGTCAACACATTTGGGGGAAACTAACAACACTCTCCAAATCTCAACCATAAAATGGAATTCCTTCACAATCAAAAAAAAATAAAATTACTTTTAAAAACAACCCCTTACAACCAAAACTAAACAATCATTAGATTCATTCACAACTCCAAAACATTGTACAACAAAGACAACACAGAAACAACAAATTTGTGAGGAGCTGCAACACAATTACAATTTTCGTCATTGTCAAAATATTCCTTCCCTAAATTTTGACATTGGAAAGAAACCCTTTTCCCCCCTCTCCGTTTCCATGATTCACAGACCAAAATACTAAGCCTTTTTTCTGGGTTTGGCCTCTCAAACAGAATAGAAAAAATCATTTCATCTTTTGCAAACAAAGTGGAAGACAAAAAAAGGTATAGAAATGGTGAAGCCGTGTTGGAGACCCTGCATTGAGGATGACACGATGGGGAGATTGGATGGATTGGTGTGGCATAAGGATTTAGGAAGCCATGCTTATGGAGAATTTTCCATGGCTGTCATTCAAGCCAACCGCATGTGTGAAGATTACAGCCAGCTTGAATCTGGTCCTCTGAGTTCCTTCATCTCCGGTGACCATCCTCAGGGCACCTTCGCCGGCGTCTACGATGGCCACGCCGGCTCCGAGGCTTCCAAATTTGTCAGCCACAATCTCTTTTTCAATCTCAAAAGTAAATTAAAAACAACCTTTACCACTTGTTTTTACTATTGATGACAAAAATATCCGTAACCGTGGATATCCGCCTGAATCCGACTTAATCGGGTAGGGTAAAACCCGAAGCCGATGGACATTTAGTGGTTACGGGTAAAACGTGAACCCGAATATTGCGGGTAATGGGTGGACATGATTTTCTCACTATCCAACCCGAACCCGCCCGATTATACATATGCATATGTATTTTGTTTTGAAATAATCGATATTTTTCTCTAACATATTTTTTATATTAGCATATAAATATAATATTTTTATGAAATTGTGTTGTTTTAATTAATTTTCTTCCTTCTAGTGAATTATTATAGTATTTTTCTTCTTACGTAACGTGAGAATACGTGTGAGTATTCACATATTGGTTCGAGTTATAAAGAGAAACTATTACCTATGGATAACCGTGGATACCCGAAATCCGAATGGGTATGGACATGGTTTGAATTTTCTACCCGTTTCTTATGTGGGTATGGGTATGGGTAAAATCCGAACTATTTTGGGTAAGATAACGGATATGCACTATCCGTCCTCGACCCGACCCATTACCATCCCTAGTTTTTACCATAAGAGCCCTAAATTTCTTATTTTAATTAGATTTTCTTTTCCTATTTCTCTTTATTTTGGCCTGTAGATATCGTGTCAGAGAGACGAGAAGTGTCGGAATCGGTACTCAAGAAGGCATTCTCGACGACGGAAGAAGATTTTTTATCATTGGTGAAGAAGCAGTGGATGAACAACCCCCAAATCGCTTCGGTAGGGACGTGCTGCCTTGCCGGCGTTTTGCACGATGGTGTGCTTTTCGTCGCCAATGCCGGAGATTCCAGGGCGGTGCTTGGAAGAGTGGAGAGAGGGAGTAAGAGAGCCTCGGCGGTACAGTTGTCCAACGAACATAATGTCAACATCGCATCCGTTAGAGAAGAGCTCTACGCTTTGCATCCCGACGACTCTCAGGTTGTCATCATGAAGCATAAGTGCTGGCGTGTTAGAGGCCTCATTCAGGTATGAGAACGCGCTATCCAGGCCTTGAATTGACTGATCTTTCGGACGTGATACTATACTATAACCCTTAAAGATCAGAATCAAGGTCTTATAATTCTCTAAATCATAAGACCCCAATATCAATTAATTAGACACAATAATCGACGGTTATGATTCCTCCAAATATAGGGAAAAAATAAACGCACCATTTTAGGGTTTATAGTTTAAGATTTAGATAATTAGGACGACCTAGGCTTCACTTATTAATAGTTAGGGTATAGTATCAGGCCGAAAATCCTGCTAATTTGAAGTATAGAGAGCGTTTTCATACTTAAGGTATGCGGTACTCAGACCGAAAAAACTTCGATATCACTTTCTGAAAACAAAAATGGAAGATTTTACATGTCTTTTTGGATTTTTCAGGTGTCGAGATCGATTGGGGATGTGTACCTAAAAAGGGCCGAGTTTCAAAGAGAGCCTCTGCTTCCCAAATTCAGATTAGCAGAAACATTCGAGAAGCCGATCCTAAATTCAGAGCCGGAAGTGACCGTCCACAAGCTCCAGCCAGAGGACCATTTTGTAATTTTCGCATCTGATGGTTTGTGGGAGCAACTCAGCAACCAAGAAGCCGTCGACATTGTCCACAACTTTCCTCGCAATGTATTTATTTCTATCCCCTGCTGCATCCTAATGTTGCTCTGTTTTTTTTCTTTTTTTAGTTCTTAAAGTTCATCAGTGGATTGCCCATTTTTCCCTTGTTGTTGGCTTGCAGGGAATCGCCAAAAGGTTACTGAAAGCTGCGCTGCATGAAGCTGCGAAGAAGAGAGAGATGAGATACGCGGATTTGAAGAAGATCGATCCAGGAGTCAGAAGACATTTTCACGACGATATAACGTTGATCATTGTGTTTATAGATTCTCATTTGGTTAGTAAGAGCCCTCTCCCGCCTTACTCGATCAAAGGAGGTGTTTTCCCTCGTTAACACTTCAAGGCCATGAAAGAGACGTTGTAGCCCTTTTCCTTCCAATAGTCACTTTCTTGGAAAAAACAGAGCACTGTGTTTAGCGAGACAGTGTTCAAAGAAGAATGGCAAATAGTGAAAATTCAAAGTTGAAGATACGATATGGTAAAATTGGCTATAGATATGTGTGATGGTAGTAGTAGTAGGCTATATTAGTAATAGAGATCCCGAATTTGGATCCTGTCGAGCCGGGAGTCTGTTATATCCTGAATGTGTAAAATCCGTAATTGTAAATTAGATACTACCAGGATGAATACATTTATTTTTTTAAGAAATTTATGGTTTCAGGAATACCACCGGCCATTCTAATTTGTGAACTTTATTTTTTGATATATTATAAAAGTCAATTCCACTATAAACTCAAGCTTTGCAATAAGAATAAGGGCTAATACCATTAGCAAATCCGAACTATCAGAAAAAATGTCACTTGTGTCTCAACCTATTTAATATTCCATTTTTGTCCTTAATTATTGTTCCGTTAGTGTTGACCATCTTTGACAGTTAGTTTTCACAAGAAGTCTAATCAGCGCTAATGTGACATTTGACATGAAATTTTTAATATTATTTTTATCTATTTTTTCATATAAAATAATAAAAATAAAAATTCATCTCACTCACCCCTCATCCCACTAATTCCCTCCTCATAACACAAAAAATATTATCTTAAAATTAGAAAACAAAAAAATCAAATCCCCAATCCTTTCTTAAACAACCTCAAATCCCTCGTTGCTCCGTCAATCCTGCCTCCTCTACTCGCCGTTTCACTTCTCCTCCGCTACTGCAACTTCGCCGTTTGCATTTCTCCAATGCTTCAATCGAGGATCTCCTCGAGGATCTTCTCCTACGCTACCCGTTTTACACGACATGTTTGGCCTGTTTTGGAGCGGGACGGGCATGGGTATTCTCATTGACACGACCTGCCCTGACTCGTCCCATTCTCACCTAAATTACATGTAATCTTATTCAAATTACTTAGAATTTTTCTTTTATTACATTATTATTTAGCTATAATAAAGTTGTAAATTAGTGAAAACCTCAATTTCTCTAATAATTTAACTATATTTATCATAATATTGTTTATTTTCTTGGTCTTATAATAAAAATAACGAATATTTCTAATGTTTTTCATATAAATTGCATACTCATTGGGTCGACCTGCGACACGTGATAAATTACCCGACCTGGACCCGACCTGCCACGGGGCGGGTCTGGGTACCAAGAAACCTGCCCTGGACCTGCCCCATTGCCATTCCTAGTAATATGCTAATATTTTCTCAAAGGAACAAATAATGAGAATATTTGACAATAGATTAACCATGAAGAACATAAAATGACTCGAAACAAACCTAAATGAGCTCTAAATAACACAATTTTTTAGGTGTTATCACCTCTCTCTTTCGGTTGAGATGAGACATAATGTCAAAGTATCGGCCCTTGATAGTGGTGATCGAAGCCTCAGTGGAGGATGAGGAGGAAGGGCTAGCTCTTGATGTCGAGGAAGACGTTCCGAATCAGACCGGATGGTGCAGAGGTGGAGCCCTATGAGCAGGCTTGGTCAGCTCCACTACCTCTGGTGATGCTGGCCCTCTGTGTCTGGATGAGTCCCATGTGTGAGAGAATTTCCTTTGGAAAGTTCTCAGACTTGCCAACCCTAGTGTAGATAGTGGTATCGACCCTAAAGAAGTGTACCAACATCGTGATGATGGGCCCCATATGCATGGTGTAGACCCTCTTGCATACTAACACTCGGGAGAAGAAGCTCGCCACCACCAGTCAAGATGTAGGACCTCACGTGGCGTCGTGGCCTGCTCAATGTGTAGAGGGCAACAATCCCTCTCAAGGTCACCTTCCCCGTAGGTATAGAATGTGCCAGAAGCATGTGAAGGATCGACCCTATCCAGAGAAAACAGGACATTAAATTATCCCCAGAAACTCACAACACTTTCATGAAATGGATTACAGGGTACAACATCTTGTCCCTAGAAATAATGTTTAGGGGATGACTTATTGTCACCGAAGTCATGGCTACACGGACGACATGATGTCTTTTATGGAAAAGAACGATATGACAGTTTGTGAGCATCGGGGACGACTGTCGTCCCTAGTATTGGGGACGACCTAGATTTTTGTCGTCCCCAAAAGAATAGAGGACAAACGTATAAGGGACCAAACATTAGGGACGACTTAGTCGTCCCTAATATTTACAGGGACAATTTCAACTATTTTCGGGGACGACTTTTGTCGTCCCCAAACCTCCTCTTTTTTGTAGTGAAGGGGGTGGCCCTCGAGTACCCCAGAGTGATTAGGTTGTTTGGATATTTGGTACCTATAATGCTACGGGGTCATTTGGATAAGGAATTGTAACGAATCAATTTGACACAATTGTCTCGTTTTGAGACAATGGTACCAAATTGCCTCGTTTGCTAGCAAAAAAATTTGGATGGATCAATCTGCGTGAGGTATTTTGAAATTGATTCGTTTAGAGTTAATTTAAATTACCTGGGGTGGGGACAGATAATTAGAATTGACTCGTCATTTTAATTGCCTCGTTTATAAAACGAGACAATTGATCAAATTGACTCATTTATAAATTGATCCATCCATCGGATCGAATAATTTTCATTATTATCAGCCTATCTAGCTAGCTACCTGTATAATCTTACAACCAGAGAATCGCCGCCTGCCCGCCTCTACTCTTTACCACACGTGTCACCATCAGACGGCTGCCCCACAGCCAGCGGCGTCGACGAGAAAGCCCCACAGCCGTCGGATCTCGCCGCCAACATCCTCCGTGGGCAGCTGGAACCGGCAGCACGGGCAGGTGTTCCGCTTCACCAGCCACGGAAGAATACAGCTCCAATGGAACAAATGGCGACAGGGCAACTCACACACGTCTCTCCCTTCCTCCATCGCCTCCTTACAAACCACGCACTCCCCTCCTCCGCCTCCGCCGCCGCCGTCCACCGACGGCAGGGCCACCACCGCCGCCGGAGCAGCCGGCGCCTCCGCCTTCTTCTCCCCCCGCCCATCTCCCGTCACGAACCTCCAGCACCTCGACACCAGCTCGACGTAGGGGGTCAAAACGCCGCCGTAAAAGACGCCGATCTCGCGGTGGGAGAGGACGGAGCCGGCGCGGTAGTGGGCGGCGAGGGCGAGGCGCCAGTGGTCGTAGGGTGTGGCGTCGAGGAGGTCCGGGTGGCGGTGGAGGAGGTCGCAGAGGAGGAGGAGGAGGAGGGCGGCGTCGGCGTCGCGGTGGTGGAAGAAGGCGGCGGGCGGCGGCGGAGGGGGAGGGGAGAAGTGGGAGGTGAGGTGGTGGAGGGAGGAGAGGAGGTGTTTGGCGACGAGGTGGGTTTTTTGAGGGAGGGAGAGGGAGTGGAGGTGGGCGAGGGCGAGGGAGAAGGCGGCGGGGGAGGTAAGGAGGGCGGAGAGGCGGCGGCGGCGGGCGTCGGCGAGGGAGAGGATGGAGGAGGTGAGGGCGGCGAGGTTGTGGGGAGGGAGGGTGGAGAGTGCTGCCATTATCATTCGTGTCTCGTTTCCTTCCCCTGGAAAGTCGTTTTTCGCTGCTGCTTCTGCTTCTGCTGGTGGCAGTGGTGTTTGGTATTCCATGGTATGGGATCTTGTGCGAGGAAAGATTGGATTGGATATGAAGGAATATTGGTTAATGTTATTTATGGAGTTTTGGAATGGAGGGAATGGGGATGCCTGCCTGCCTTTTATAGTGGAAAATTCTTAGCTTCAATTTTAGTTGAAAGCCGAAGTTCTACCCAGTCACATGTCAGTTTTCTATTGGTGATATCATTATTTTTTAATATTTTAATTCTTGATTACTTATTATAATTAAATATTAAGAAAAAAGGAAATTCTACGTGGTATTAGTTTTCTCCACACCCTACCGGCCTTTTTCTTTTTCCGTTTTCTTCATGGTATTAGTTTTACAGAAATGTCCAAGAGCTAAAATATGCAATTCTACAACAAATGTAATGCATGTAAGGTTGAGTTATATGAGAAGACATGTTAAGTTCCAGCTGTAAGAAACTTGTATTATTAAGGGGGACAAAATCCGGAAAAAATGTCCAAGTAGAAAAAGAAATTCCCACAAGCCACAATACCACACTTCAATTTTTTGTCCTCTAGAATATCAAACTTTGAAGCAGTTCACTACAGTCTCAAACGAACTAGAGAAAAGTTATACAGAACAAAATAAAAAATTTGTTGCGATCAGACAACCGAGTGCAAAGTTACGATCGTTTGGAGTTCTGAACCTAGATTAGGAGTGGATCGCGCGGGCTGACAGGCATCTGAGTAGTTCGTTGGGGGTCAGCCGTGCCGCTTTGGATGTGGTTCGCTCTTGTGTCAAGCGAACCACTACCTAGTTTGCTTGACACTGGAATTAACTGCTCCAAACTTGGGTATTATGAAATTTTTTTTTGTTTAAAATGTGATATTGTGGATATTTCTTTTTGTAACTTGGGCATTCTCGGATTTTTTCCTATTACGGGTTATAGATATCTCTCTATTATATGTTTTTATTGAATATACTCCTTTACTATTTATAAAATAAAGATTCTTATATATTTTGAAAATTTTATCAAACATGTCATTCCGTTAAAATATCAAATTAAAGACTGTTAACCACGGTTGAACCTTTACTTAGACACACATATCTAAAATATCTTTAATAATTTCATTCAAACATTTAACTTTTTTTGTGTAGCCCAATATCTTTAATAATTCACCTCAACGAGATTTAGAGAAATAAATAAAGAGGCAATATCGACATTTTGCCTCTCATTTTGCCGAGCTCAAGTCATTCGAACCACGGTTTGACTCTAGCGAAAGAATGTCTATGTTTGACTCTAGCTCATGTCACCTCAAACAGATCTAAAAACTTGGTTTTTGAAAAGGTAAAAAGTGTTTTTGTATAACATAAAAGTAAAAGGTCCGATTTGAAGTTTCTGCGAAAAGCTGTTTTGAAAATACAAGATTATATTTATCATATTTTAATTTTATTTAACAAAATCCAATTTTCTATAAATTATATCATAATAAAAATAAAATCAAGCTAAAAATTTTATTAATTAAAATAAAAGAAATCTAACAATATCCATTTTGACTACCTTGAAATTTAAAAAAATATATTTATATTATAAATTTTTTTTAGTTATTTTATATGATTTCTTATATTAAAAAACAATTTTAATAGTTTTTCAGCCAAACACTCAACTATATTTTTTTTAAAGTAATTCTCTAAAAACTCTAGCAAGAAGTGATTCTATAAAAACTAGAAGATAGTCAAACTAGCCAACTTTCTGATAACACTTCTCGTTACAACTCAAGAAACTTCATAGTCTGAGAGAAGGAAAAGCAAATCCCATTGTGATCCAAATGAAATGAAATAGGAAGCAAGGCTATCCTCAAATATGTGGACCACAAATTATGTTGCCGACTGAAAGCACCATGCAACAATTTCACTACTAGTGCCTCCAAGCCCCTTTTGAGTTGGACAAACCCGTCTTTTCCTCGTTGATACCGTCGCTGCATTATTTTGCGTTAGGTTGATCCATCGAGGCAAACCGAAATCCCGAATCACAGAAAGTGAGGATTGATGAATTCAATGGAAATGGAGTCGGCTTGGGAATGACAAGTCATTCGTCCACATGTGTATGTCCAATGCAGACACTCTTCACAGCCCACGTTTCTCTTTTCTAGCATCCCCTGTTAGTCAAGTGATGTCTCTTCACCAGCAACAAAACAAGCAGAAGAAGGAGGAGAAGAGAAAAACAAACCCTTTGGCCCATCCAATCCATGGCTCTCATCCCTCTTGTCTCCCCTGCACATGCATTATTCTTCCTCATAAACAACCAACTCCTTGGAACTTTCTTCGCCAAACCCATTAATAACACAAAACCAACCATCTATCACGCCCTCTTGTCACCCTTTCACACCGTCATTCACAGCTTTTCATATTGCAAGACTTTGCTGTAACTGAACTCAATCCTGCATCATGATCTCGCAGCTACACATTCTGTAATCAAGTACTCTTTCTCGATTATCGGTGCGTTTGCCTTTCTTTGTCTAGCATCCATTTCAAGACTAGTATACTGGGATTAGTTCAGCTGAAAGCTCCACGCCTTCGAAGATTTACATTGTAACACGGCTATCATCTATCCAGCTACGACCAGAGATCTTCTTCAACCCAATATCGTTCATCCTATCTCTCACCTCATCGGCCTCTTTCCATCTCCCCGCTTGTGCGTATAAATTTGCCATGATCATATAATTCCCTGTATTCTCTGGTTCAATGACAAACAAACGATCACATACGAACTTTGCGAGTTCAACATCACCAGCTTCTGAAGCTCCATGAAGCAATACCCCCCAAATTTTGGCACTTGGTGTAATTGGCATGTTGGAAACAAATTCTTTTGCCTCTGAGAGCCTCCCGGCTCTGCATAGAGCAGTTGCTACGCAGGAATAATGCTCGACGAACGGTTGGATGCCATAATTTGTCGACATGGCATTGAAGATCTCCCAAGATTTGTCCACCATTCCACAGTGAGCACAAGCTGACAACACTGCTGTGAATGTAACTCCATCAGGCTGGATGCCCTTGTTTAGCATCTTATGAAAAAGCACAAGAGTTGAGCTAGCATCTCCGTTTGATGAATAGGCAGATATTATTGAAGTCCACAAAATCAAGCTCCGTTCTTTTGACTGCTCAAAAACAACCTGCGCCCCGGTTACAAATCCTGACTTGCCATAGATATCAATGATTGCAGTTGCTACATATACGTTCTGGTCGTAGAGATTTCTCACAGCATGACCGTGGACCTCTTTGCCTGCTTTGAGATTCGAATAGTGGGATAGTGCAGGTAGAAGGCTTGAAAGGGTCACCGGATTAGGGCTTAAACCAGATGCCAACATTTCCCTGAACAATTCTATAACCTGCTCATGCCGATTATTTTGTGCCAAGCCTGAAATCACTGCATTCCAAGCACTTATCCAATGAGATTTTGTTGATCTGAAGATATCCACAGCCTCGTTTACTAAGCCATGAAGCATGTAGCCAGATATAATTGAGCCGTAAGTCACATTATCTCTATCACTCATGTCTTCAAACAATTCCCTTGCGTATTCCAAGCTACCGCATTTGGCGTACATTCCAATGAACGCATTACGAACCTCCGTGTCCAATTCAATCCGATTATCAATGGCAAATCTATGAACTTCCATTCCGAGAACAAGATCAGCTGACTGGCCACACGCTTGCAGGACGCTAACGATAGTTACAGCATTCGGCATAAACCCAGACGATTCTAACATGTCTCTGTACAATCCTTTGCACTGCTCATAAAATCCCGCCTGAGAGTATCCTGCAATCATCGAGTTCCACGAAACTACGTCTCTTTGAGTCATTTCGTCGAACACCTTCCTCGCAAGGACGATGGCAATACATTTAGCATAGTAACTGATCAGAGCATTCCCAACGAAAACGTCACCCTCCAACCCATTTCTGAGAATAAACCCATGCACCTGTTTTCCAGCTTTCACATCACCATAGGGCAACTTCCCCAGCGACTTCATAAGAGACGTGACCGAGTAATTGTTGGGTCTAGCCTCGAGCTCATTTGAAAGAGCCAACTCCGCAAAGAGATTAAGCGCGTCGCTGTGGCAGTCGTTGAGGGAATAAGAGATGAGCATCGCATTGTAAGCGAAAGTGTTCTTCTGGGGAATTTGGTCGAACACGCTCCGGGCATGGCACAGGTTGCCTGTTTTAGCATAGAGATTGATGAGCTTGGAACCAAGGAAATTGTCAGGAATGACTGAGAGGAGGTTTAGCCGAGCGTGCAGTTGCTTCCCTTGAACAGGGAGACGCCGATCGGTGAACTGCTGGAAGAGGCGGCCGCAGTAGGCAAAGTCGATGCCGTCGGCGAAGGTCTGAAGGTAACGAAAGCCTCGATGGACTAGGCCGCCGAAGTGGTCCGTCAAGTTTCTCATTCACTCGTTCGGCTGCCCAAAGCAAGCCGGGTCTCTCTTTTCTTAAAAAGGACACTGGCACAAACGGCGTCGTTTACCCCTTGGTCTTTTAACGGCGTCCACGCTCCGTTTTGACTGGCGCCGTTTTAGCAACCATAGTCTAAAGCCGTCAAAATCCCAATTCTTGGCGGGGTCGAACGGAGGCGGGCGTCAGGGTGTTTGGGTGCTGATCAGAGCATGTTCTGATCTCAGATTGAGCTGGAAATCGGCTCTTCAATCGTGGTTTACATTGAATTCGGCCGAAGCATCTCGATTCTCCGAATTCGTTGTTTGCCGGTAATTCATATCGGCGGAATCGGTCTTTTTCTGGAGGAATTGAAGGCAAATCGATCAGCTGCGTTGAGAATTAGGTTTAATTTTGAGACGATTTGATCGACAGCTGCAGATGGATAGCAGCAGGGGCAAACAGGCGGAATCGCCATCTTCACCGAGCACGGTCTTCAAGTTACCAGGAGAGCCTGCCGTCATTATCAATGGCGTCCCTGACATTGGCCCGGCGAAGAACGACGCTTCCGTTGCTCTTGCTATCGTCGAGATTCCAGAGGAATCGCAAGGCACGACGGCAGGCTTTCTTGGGACGGAAGGGTTCGGGGATTGGCTGGAAGGGAGGAAAGTGAGGAAGCTGTTTGGGAACAAGCATTTCTCTGGCACAGTGAGTCGGTACGACAAGGAAACTCGGTGGTACAGAGTGGTGTACGAAGACGGCGACTTCGAAGATCTGGAATGGAAAGAGCTGGAGCCGGTTCTTCTGCCTCTGGACATCACTGTTCCGCTGAAGACACTGGCGCTGAAAGTTGTGGGACGAAGCCAGACTGCACCGCCTAAAGTTTGGAAAACCGGGTCTGCGACCAAAGCTAGAAAGAAGACTCAAGGTATGGGAGACCAAATTGCATGATCAGACTGTTTGCTTGCCTTATAATTCGGTTGCCGGGTTGCAATGTTCATCTTGTTCTGGACAATGCTGCTGCTGCTGCTGCTGCTTGTTCTTTAGATATGGATACTGATGTAAATGGAAATCTGATTGATCAAAGGTTTAATATAACGGTTAACTTTGGTCGATCAAAAGAGTAGCCAGGCACCAGCTTAACGAACATGAACTCAATGATTAAAAGTTCTTCATTTTGTTCTTGCTCTTATTACACATATATTGCCTTCTAGTTTCATCAAAAGAAGGTGTGATCCATAAAACTATCTCCTTTTTCTGAGAACTTCCTGAGTAATAGGAAGGAAGGTTGATCGGAATGACCCCGAAATTTACTTTTGTCAGCTATAGATATAAACATCAACACTTGGTTTTGCCTCAACAAATAAGTATTTGGGCCAAGGAAATTGAGGGTCTCTTGGTTGACCCTCAATTGATGGCTATGAGGGCAGCTCTTGGCGAAGGACACAAAATGTTGTCTTCAGAATCCTGAGAAACTAGCGAAGTCTTTGATTCATCGAAGTCATGTTCTGCTGCCGAATCCCCAGAGTTTAAAGCACTTAATAATACTTCAAAGTCTGGTGTTCTCAGCTCCTCAATGGTTGTACTGCTTGGAATGCTGTATTTTGCCTTTGTGAGTGAGGTGCATGTGTCATCAACCTGATAAGATCCATTAATTCAGAAGGTCTCCATTTACTCCGTCCAACACCGTAGTTAGATATAGAACCTGCACTGTGACATTATTCTTGGAAATTGATGTTCTTACCTTGTATTCACTAACTAGGCATTGCCCTGCATTTTCATTGATCTTGTGCACTCCGTCTTGGTGATCGCCATCAAGGTTCTTCATATCCTTGATAGAAGGAGCAACGATCATCTTCATGTTGTTTTCTGCTTCATGGTCCAGTGTCAGTAGACCTGCATGCCGGTTAAACAATAATGACTCTTAGGGATCTGTTTTCTGGTGATAGAAGATTCCAGGTACAGAACTTACTTGAGATGGTGCGTATGAGAGACTGGTTTGCAATGTCAGATTGTTTAAGTGTAGATGTAGCTATTGATGTAAGCTTTTCGAAGGTCTCATGGTTGGTTTCTACTCCATCCCTGGTGAAGTAACAGGAAATGGCAGTCTTACATTGTACTTACTTTTCAAACTTTGGTATGGCGGATTCAACATTCCTGAAAATTGCTTACCCGGCAATGGCAAAAACAGAATCTATGCTTCTCTTCTGCTGATCAAGAATCGATTCGTATGCGTCTTTGCACTTTGTGGCTCCGCTTCTTGCTTTTGCTAGGCTAGGAAGACGAATTAGAAAAGATTAGGAACGATGTCAGTGCTGAGTTGTTGTTGTGAAGTGAGAACGCAGTTGTTATTGCTTTAGGCACTCACCATTGATGAAGGTGTGCTTCCAAGTCAACTTTCCCATTTGTCACTGAACTCACGACTTCAGCATATTTAGCCTCTGCTGTCTCCAAGTGATCTCTCCATTCACAGTTGACAGAAGAAGCAACATTGTCCAGGCTCGAGAGCTCAAGCTGTAAGTTGCAGTTCCCTGTACCCATACTTTCCAGAAGGCTACTAATTGATGTTTGAACCTGGATATTGATGAAAGTGGAAAGAAAAATGAGCATTCGCCACTGTTGTATTAAAATTGTGAGATAAATTGCAATTTGTTTGACTGTCGTGAACGATGAGCAGAAAGCTACCTGCTTTTTCTTCCGAGCATTTGAACTATCCAACATCTCTGCTATTTTCTCCAACATCAGGTCCTTCTCCAAAGCGGCACTTACCTGCACGTGTGAACAGGTTATTGTTTTGTCTTTCCCAAAGAAATTTGTCTATGGAAATTAACAGAAAATGTGCAAGTACTCCAAACTCATATTCATCAAAAGAAGGGGGAAAAAGTACCTCAAACTCCTTCTCGAGCTCATATAGCTTTCTACCAGTAGTTAATTGGGTCTCTTCTGCTATTCGAGACAGGTTCGAAGCATGGATGCCTAATTTCGAAGTAAAGCTTGTCATAGCTTCAGTCATTGATTTGGTCATTTGCAATGTCTTGGAATGAGTCTGCTCAATAGAGTAACAGAGTTCAGTAATTGATGGACATCAGTTCAGTATGCCCACAAAAGAAGTAACCATTTTGTTTAAGGGTTTCCATATATCAACGGAGGAAAAATGGTCCAGTTACCAAACCTCATGAAGCTGCTGTGCATATTTGGCAAGTTTTTCCTCTTCTGTAAACAACTCAGTTTGTACGACTTTGAGGATGCCATGTATTTCCATAAACTTTTCTTCTACATGCTGCACAGTTTTTTAGAGACTTGTATCAGTGAAGGTTGAAAGCCAAGATGTGTGATATAGGAAGTGAACCAGAAACCTAATAATTACCTCAACAAGAGTAGTAGAGTTTCTCAGGACTTCTGAAGTTACATTGGAGAATGCTTGCTGGTAACCCTCGTCGAGTTCCCCAGCTATGTTTTCCAATGACTTGATGCTACTGCCATAACTGCCATTGAAATTCACAACTTCTGATAGAAGTCCTTCAGTACCCTGCAAAATAGGAAAAAGGTTACTGTATCATGTGATACCAGTAAAAGTACAAGGGTAATATGCATGTAGGAGGAGTTCCTTTCACACCGATTCTTTATCAGCTACGAATAAGCTGAAGTCTTTCTCTATTGATTTTAGCTGTTGCTCCTGCTTTGCAGTGGCGCTTGAAACTATTGCGTGCAAACCGTCAAGCTCTTGACCGAGCTGAGTTTGGAATTTCTGGAGAAGAAGTCTGTTTGCTTCTCCTACTTTGGCTTGTTCTTCTGCTAACAACATAGGACAAACCCAAAAGCTTATTATGTGCCTGTACAGAACTACAATGCATGTGAATATGTGATTATGAAAAACTTCTCAAAGCTAACCAATTTGCCCGAAGAAAGTTGACGCCTCTTTAGCTGCACCATCCAGCTCCTGCCGTAGCGTCAAAGCTTGATCCATAAGCGCTTTCTCTGGAAAAATTTGGTTTACCAGTTAATTTCTTTTCTTCAGGAACTTTTTTATGCGAGAAACGCCCAGAGATACAAACTTGCGTCCATTTCATTTGAGGATAGCAACTGGAAAGGGTTACTATAGGCTAATACAAACTTGCCAACACTTGTGACGGGAATTTGCCTCACCAGATTGAAGGAGATTAGAAATCAAGTACTCTTTCTCTATTATTGTTGCGTTTGCCTTTTTTTGTCTAGCATCCATTTCAAGTATAGTATTGTGTGATTCTTGAAGTTCTTTCTGCCATCAAAGAACATTGAGAAGATCTCTTAGTTCATTAACCAAATGCAAGTCATTGTAGCAGTTCAGCTGAAAGCTCCACGCCTTCGAATATTTAAATTGTATATCATGGTTATCGTTGATCACCTGTGTCTTTAAAAGTTTTTCTCTTAGTTCAGCTGTCTGAAGCTGCTGATCATCATAAAGGCTCTGAAGTTCCATATGATGCTGCTACCAGAATGATACTCGTCAGCTATCCAACTTAAATAGATGCACGAAGAACGAAGATTGTTGAGAAACTGCGTACCTTGTCTTTGATTTCTAATTCTAGTTCCAAATTCTCAACTTTCTCAACCATCGCCTGTGCAAGCAGAGTAACTTCAATCTGACTATCACAATCTCAACTATGATAGTAAAAGACTACGCTAGAGTTTATACCTTCATCTCAGCTTCTTCAGCCAGGTAACGATTAACTGGTACATACATGCCATTCTTCTCTCTAGCAGCATATAGTTCTGCACTTAAAGAAAGAAAGAAAAACAGCATAGAGTTTATGAAAAAGAAGATGCGATAATTTGTATGTCATGTTTCCACTGAACTGCACTTGACAACCTTGCCTAAGACGATCTATCTCAGAGTAAAGATCCTTGAGCAGCTCAGCTTTTATTGTCCTCTGATTCACCTGATTCGTCAACAGTACATCTATAAGCCAGAATGCAATTAAGCAAGGGAAACAAATACACGTATAATAACGGACTACTACTAGCCTCAGGTTTGTTTTTTATGTTTTTGGCTCGGTGAGCATAGTCTAGGGTATTAAGCGTCTCTTCCAAGGAATGAACAGATGGTGATATTGTGGCAATTATGCACGTCTTTGTCTTCCCACCTAGTGAATCCCTTAGCAACCTTGTCAATTTACTGTCCCTGATGTATTCAAGAGAGTTTAAAGTTCATTAGGTTCTCTAGAAAGCTTCACTGTTTTACAGTAATGCATCATGACATTATGTACCTGTATGGAACATGCCCAGAATGGTCAACCAATGCATTGATTACGCGGCCTAGCGTTAACAAGCTTTTGTTGATCTCTCCAGCTTCCCTCGCTCGTTCCTGCAATGACATTCATTCTTTTCTTTACAAATGAAGAAAGGATGGCGGCATAGAGCAAAGGTTGGCAATCATATTCTGAATATGTTAGTTTTGTACCTCTTTTGCTCCAGAGCGTGAGATATTCTCAGACCCAGCAAGATCAACAAGATTAAGTTTCCCACACTTCACAAGTTCCTCGCCAACTGAAGAACCTTCCTCCTTGATGTAAATCGTAATCGAGAATATGGTGTGAGAACGACTGCTGGTTTTGTTAAGCAGTGTTGCAGCAGTCTGCCTCTTGGCAGAGCCTTTCTCCAAGATCTTGTATATTTCTTTAGCAGAAGAGACCAATTCCTGCTCTAACCCTCTTATGAAAACACCTCCCTTGCCATCTTCCAAGAGGGCTATTGGCTTCTTCAGTTTCTCATCCGCGCTAGCAGTAACACTTTCATCAGAGTCCGCCAGCAGGTCCATTATCTCCTCATTGTAAAGCTCCAGAAACGTCACTTTCATGCTGTAGTCTTCACTTCTGGCTTCCAGAACCTCAAATATTTGTTGAACAGCTCGTGGAATGATACCAGCATCACTAGGAAACTCCCCATCCTGAAAATAACCAAACTAACCTTTAGCAAGTAGGGGTAAAACCATAACTGCTGAGCAATCTGACAACAGAATATCTAGTCAGTTAAAATTCAACCTCGGACACCATCCCTCCTTCCATTGTGTAAGTTTTACCAGTTCCAGTCTGTCCATAAGCGAAAATGGTACAATTGTAACCCTCGAGAACTTCATTCACAATTGGAGTCACAGCTGAATCAAACAAATCCGTCTGCTCGCATGTAGGACCAAACACCTGTACCAACAATGATCAGCAAGACAAACCCAGAAACCAATTCAATCTATAGTCTAGCTTCAGTTACAGTGAGATTAATCAAACTTTGCTCACTAACAAAAAACCAAGAAGCACAAAACTAAACCTTGTCAAACTGATAGCTCTTATCTATCTGCTTGTGAGCTGTATTCTGGACCAAAGACACTAATCCCTTCTTCTCATTGCAAGAAATCACTGCATGAGATACCAAATGCTTCTCATCTTCATTCAACGGCCTGAAAATGTCTTACAATATGTAACCCCCACAACAAAACAAGAGTATGTTCTCAGTCGTACCAAAAAAAAAAAAAAAAACCCCCAAGTCATCAATTCTTCATTACCTGCAACGGAGAATGACCTGCACATTTACCCCCTTATCATTCTTACTGTTATTGTTCGAGTTCGCCTCTGATGGAACTGACGGCTCTTTGAAGCTTCTTGTCCGCAGGGAGTGAAGAGAAGAAGGAGAAACAGGGATCATGCTGGATCTTCGTTGCTGCTGGGAGTGTGAATGTTCCATTTGTGATGCTCTATGGAGAGAACCACCTTCCTGCAGCAACAACTTGCGCGGTGACGGGAACATTTCCCTGATGTTGGCTATTCCCCTGCTAATAAAATCGCGGGTGCAGATGAGCAAATCGCAGAATTCAATGAAGAACACTGTAGTAATTCGAAGATTACAGGTTACCAAAAGTCACCAGACAGTTGAACTCCCAAGTAGAAAACAAATGGTCGAATACTTGGTGAGCAAAACTCTCCTACTCCATTTCCAAACCGATGGACGGGGGAGAAAAGGAATTAAAAAAAAAAAGAACATGGTGAAAAAACAAAGGTCCGGACGAACCTAAATGATGCTGAGACGTGCAGTTTCTGCGTCGCGCCAGGAATCAGAATTACAAGAAGAGAAGTCAGAGTACTTCTTCTGCCGCCCTGCAGTCCGATTCTGCAGGCACAAACGACACGGCCGGCGCCAAATATTCTAAAATTTCTGAATCAGACGGGCCAATAAATTGAAAACTGAAAGGCTGATTTGAACTCGCCGTGACGACGCAGGCGTGCCTTTAAACTGAATTCTAAAACAGGCCGGCCGTTGATCAATGGCGATGCTACCCAAGTTAGGTGGCCTTGCAGCCAGCTCATTCGTTGAGGAACGAAAAAGTTCTTTGCTACGGTAGTTCGACGTTACCGGAGAGAGTGACGGAACAGAAGAATTTCAGCGTTCTGCTAATGGCGGAAGAGCTGAGTGTTGACTAAGATATCTCATCAGTAACAAAGGAGATTGAAGCATTTTCTGTTTCGGATGGTGAGCGGCGGCGGCGTCGGCGTCGATCGCTGTGCAGGCCGAGGCAACGTCGCAAAGTAGAGGGCGCTGGTTCAGGAGCGAGCTTCTAGTCTGCAGTTTGGAGGAGAGGAATGCTGGATTGCTGGTTGATGATCGTTTCGTTGCAAAAGAATGGGACTGGGAACCGTTGCAAATGAATTAGCTGCTAAGCAGTTTAATTGCATTTGAACCGTTTTTATGGGTCCTCGTGTCGCCCGGGATTTTCGTGCCTTTATTTTCCAGATCATTGATTCCACGCAGATCCGATTAACCAAATTAAACACCATTTTAATTTGGTGTCCATAAAACAAGTAACGTGAATCAACGTTTACAGAATCTAAATATTTATGCATATATGTGCGCAGGAAATATGTTAATGTTTTCTAAATTATAATCATTGCAATTTTGTTGTATGTCTTCGAATTAACTAAAGATTTCATGGAATAAAAAGTTCAAGAAAATTCAAATGAGAAAAATATTCATAAAAAAATACGAGTAAGTGATAAATAAATAAAAATATATAATAAAATCTCTATAAATTATTATAGTCGGAGCATGAAAATTATTAATTTATAATAATTATTAATTAATTGATAATTTAATAATTTAAAGAGGGATTTTTTATAACCCATATGGTTAACACATAGTTTAGAAAAAATTGTGGCTTACGTCATTGGGATTTCGATTGAGGGTGAAGGAATGATGGATGATTCAACACCTTTGGAATTGGTGAGGCGAAACGAAGTGGTTAAAGCCGCATCAACTCTTCAAACTAATATTGTAAGAACAAAAAAACTCTTCAAACCACTTGTTGCAATTAGAGAAGACAAAGTCGGAGATTTGGAGTGCAATGAGAAAATTTTAAGATGAACTTCTACTAAACTTGAACTTCAAGAAGAAACAAAAATCTATAGATTCGTATTTTTCTAAATGATCATAGTTATATTGTAAATTTCTTGATGATTTTTATCTTCTAATTTGATAATTATTAATGTTGTAGAATTGAAAGTACATGGATGTATTTATGTAGGTTGATTTTTTTTTTTTTTGCCATAGATAGGTAGTAGATAGATAGCGTATTACAAGTTCTTGAAAATTAAAAGCGGTAGTCAACCTAGTGTTGAGCTACCGATGCAAGGGCCGTTAATGCCACTAAATGGGCAGCCCTGTTAGTATGCCTAGAACCATAAAAACACGAATAAACGCGAAGGAAGTCTTCGTGCAGCAAAATTCTTGAAGTACCTATCCGCCTAGAACCTTCATATCTACTATAAGTCAAGCTTCAATAGGCCAACGGTAGAGTTGATGTGCAAGCTACCTGCAAGATGAACACACAAACGACCCCTAAAGGAGCAAAGCAAATTTCAAGTACCAACGAACGCCTACCAGAGATGCTCCACAAGCTCAATGAACTACTCCGCCCGGCAAAGGAGCTTGTCGAAGTTGGTATCGAACAGTCGCACGAAAGCGTAAACAACAAGATTGGGGAAAACTGTCGGATGAGGGCACCAAACTTTCTTTTCTAAAAGAGATTGAAATTATAATTGACACCAAATAATAAACATATAATAATTCATTAGGAAGATTAAGGAAAAATAAAAATAAAAAATAAATAACTAAGAGATGCAATGGAAAAAAGATACATAAGATAATCCTAACCATTAAAACTAAAAATGATGGACGAAATTAAGAACAAATAAATATTATTAAGACTAACGAGAAGAGGAAAGAAAAAACCAAGAGAATAAATGTAAAGAAAAAAAATATTATTGTTAATCAAAAGGAAGCGGTTGATTACTTACCTGTAACCGCAACCCACTTACCCTATCGGATATGTTATCCTGCAAAACTGTTGCTCGTTCGCTTCCCCTGCCTGCCGCCGACGAGCAGGTGAATTTCATGTTAGCGATGATGTGTCGGGCCGTTGGTGATGGAAAGGACGTTCCGAAGCTATGCTCCCATCGCCCAATTGCACCACCACGCCATGGAAAGACGATGGAGTTAGCTATTAGTGTGATTAGAGCGCCAGCCGAAATCCCATCACCAAGAAGGAGAAGAGAATCGGAGCGAAGCCGCACAAAGGCAGAAAGGCCAACAACGACAACCCGCACAGAAGTTCTCCGCAACCGTCTGAACCTGAGGTAGTCGAGCGGTCGGCCATCGGGGACCTCGCCGCGCTCTCTTGCATCCAAAATTAGATTCCTATTCTCTTCTTTCTGGTTACAGAAAGTGAGGGAGAGAGAGAAATGGAGAAGGAAGGAAAGGAAAGCATTTATGTAGGTTGATTCTCACAAACGATTGTCTTATTATTTCATTAAACTTTCTTTTTTATATTATCACAAGTCAGGAGTGGAGAAATTATTAATTTATTTTAGAATATTAATTTATCTAGTACTAATTTATAGAAATTTTATCGTAATGGTGAGCGGAGACATTATTAATTTATTTTAAATTATTAGTTTTGAGATTATTAATTTGGTTATTGTTCAGAGCTAACGAAAAGTGCATAACCAAGCTTTTTCTTATGATTCGCATTCTCGGGTATCAAAAGCTGGCTTAAGCCTAGTAAATCGAATTCTCAGTCGAAATGAAGAAAAGAAGAGCTACCCACAAAGGACCGAAGGGAGAAGGGCCAAGTCTTCGTGGAAAAGAAAAACATAAAGAAGAACGAATTTATTCCCTAAGAGCTTGTCCAGGGACAGGGACCTGCAACGACATAGACTACTGACCCTCTTCTTGTTCGTTCCTAGCCGTCAGTGCACAATGTAGTCAACATCACGTTTTAAAAGTTAAAAGTTTACGCTTTTACACTTCTAGGTCACCAAAATGCTTCTACATATCAAGGAGGTCTTCTACTCGATCCTTCAAGCTGACATCAAGGAGGTCCTCTAATCGAGAGCATTCGAGCAACGTTTCCAAAGTTCGTGTGCGTAGGTTTCAACCGAAAAATCTACGTAACAAGTGGTATTAGAGTCTCGTTTAGTGCGACTGGAGTCCAGGAAGATGGTGCCGAAGAAGCAAGCATCCCAACCAACTTCTTCCGACAACACCGCCATCAACAAGGATACTCTTCAAGGGATACGTGAGGATCCACACACTGTGCAGGATATGTCAAAAACACTGCAGATGATGACTACTCCACTCGACGATCAAGCTCAACGCTAGCAGGGCATGGAGGGAAGCTTCAACAAAATAGAGGCCACCATGACGCAACTGCAAGCCTCAATTTTTGAGATGACACGAGGGTAGGCCTCGATCATGGAGCTGGCACGTGGATTGACGACGAGGATCCACGTGCTGCAAGCTTTGATTGTCGTCGGGGCATCCGGTCCAGTTGTGGGAGATCATTGACGGTGAGGAGAAACAAGGGGACTCACCGATGAGTAACGAGGATGAGGCGGCCAAAGCAACCGTGAGGTCGAGGCCGACGAGGTGTTCGACCGCCAACGTCGTCAGCGGGGAGAAATTGAAGGCGATCGGAGGAGGAGGTTACCGTGGGCAGGGTCGTTGCAAGCCCTAGCCGGCTCAACGGAGTGGGGCGTGGAGCGACCGGCGGAACCCAGGTCAGCGGGCGGTGGCAGCAGCAGCGGCGGATCCAGAACACAGAAAAGCACGGGGCCGCATTTCATTAGAAAATTAGAACAGTAAAAAAATATTATAGTTTTTTTTACAATATAAATTATACACGACGGTATTTTAATTTAGCGAATACATCAATAATGGAGTCCACATTCATACCAATAGTATACACTGTTTTAAATAAAATACTTGAGTAATCGGCGAGAAATTCATCGCTCGTTTTATTGCACAAATCAGTTTTCATATGTTTCATTGTTGAAAAGGTTTTCCACTAGCTGCTTTAGTAAATTTTTAGGGAACAAAACTCATATTTCTTGGGTAATTAGCATAAATGGTCACAAACCTTTGCACTTAGTACAAAACAGTCACAAATCTTTAATTTGTAACCATTTGATAACAAAACTTTTTTACTTAGAACAAAATGGTCACAAATTAAACAGTGTGACCATTTCATACCAGTTCAAACTTTTGTTACCGTGTCGTTGCAAATTAGACTTTTGGTGACCGTTTTGTACAAATTAATTTCAAAAGTTTGAACGCTCAATCACCGTTACAATTCACTCTAGTTGTATGGTGGTTTTGTTAATGTATGTGAATGATATTATGTTGTTTAGGATGACAATGAGAGAATTAAATGGCTCACAAACGGGTTTCAGACGGCTTTTTAGTTGAAAAAACTATGTCTACTTTCTTACTTTCTTGGTATCGAAATTGAAAGGTCAACTAAGGGCATTCTTATTCGGCAAAGCAAATATGTTGATGAACACATGACCTGACATCTTATAAGTCGTTCAAGTGGTTAGTGTCGTATACTTAACGAACAAACTACCCGACCTCAAAACATGACAAACATTTAATTTGTAACGATTCGGTAACAAACCTTTGCACTTAAAACAAAACGGTCATAAATTAAATAGCGGTGACCATTTTATACAATTTCAAAGTTTTGTTACCGTACTGTTAGAAATTAAAGGTTTGTGACCATTTTGTACTAAGTGCAAAGGTTTGTTACCATTTATGCTAATTACCCCATATTTCTTATACTCTTTTGTTTTAGACTTCAGAATTTTAGATTTCATTGTTTTTTTAGAAGAATAATCTTTGGAGCTAGAATTTCTAGACTAAATTTATAGTAGTGATTTGAATATGTTAATTTGAATCACTTTTCTAGTTACACCCAATCTTATTATAAAATAACACTGGACCGAATAACTAAAATCGAAAAATTCATAAAGACTATACTAACTCCGGATCCAGAGGAAGGCTGGGCCGGGGCCCGGGGTGGCCACCCCCTGGATCCGCCAGTGGGCAGCAGCCATGGTGGAAGATCGATCTTCGCGATGGGACCCTAACGGGGAGCATTGGCTCTCGACCAAGGCGCGGGTCAAGGGAGAGGATCGAAAAATCGACAGAGCCGAGCATGACTAAGAAGATTTCTAGAAGAGAGAGTTTTTGGGGGAATTGCTCATACTGAGCTTTCCATTGATGCAGGAGATATATACATATTACAGAGCAAAAGCAAAAGGAATCTACCTAGCCGTTAACTTTACCCTTTCTATCTACCAATAAACTCTGTACACGTGTAAAAGCTATACAGTAAAAACTAACAAGAATCAAACGGTGCGTTGCCTTCATTCTCTGCATCATAACGTCATCGTTTTTCCTTTCCCTTTGCTGACCCTGTTCTTCGTTTCATCAGCATACTTTCTTCCACAACAAGGCCAGCAAGCAGCAACTAATTTGTTGATCTCGTGATCAACTGGAGCATCATCATCGTCACCATCCATGCTCCTTGTTACCCTCCTACAAGCTGGCGAGTATATATCATATACTCCCAGCTTGGACAGCAACATACCAAAACGATCGATTGACAAACTTTTTGTAAATATGTCAGCCAACTGTAATTCTGTAGGGATGTAATGAAGAGTGATCATACCAGACTGAACTCTTTCTCTGATTACATGGCAATCCACCGCTATGTGTTTTGTTCTTTCGTGAAAAACAGGATTCCCTGCAATGTGGATTGCAGATTGGTTGTCACAATAAACTGGGACTGCTTGATCATGTGAAACTCCAAAGTCTGCAAGTAATCTGATCAACCACTGCACCTCACAACTTAGGCTAGCCAGTGCCATGTACTCTACCTCTGATGATGAACGAGATACAGTGGATTGTTTCTTGCTTTTCCAACTTAACAAACCATTTCCAAGGAAAGTACAGTAACCTGTAATTGACTTTCTTGAATCTCGACATGTAGCCCAGTCACTGTCACTGTAACCCTTCAGCTGAAGCTTTGCATCCTTAGAATACAGCAACCCTTGACCTGGTGAACCTTTTAAGTACCTCAACACTCGATGTAAAGCCCTGAGATGTGAAGTTGTGGGACTATCTTGATACTGACACAGCTGTTGAACAGCAAATGTGATGTCAGGCCTTGTGGTGGTGAGATATTGCAATTGCCCCACGAGATGCCTGTACTCACTAATGTCAGTTAATGGTTCACCTCCTGAGGAAGATAAAACTTCCTTGATGAAGATGGGAGTGGGAGCAGGTTTGCAATTTTCAAAACCTGACTCAGCCAATACATCCAAACAGTATTTCCTTTGAGATACTGTGATTCCCTGCTTCCCACGAATTACCTCTAAGCCAAGGAAATAACTCAGTTCTCCCAGATCTTTCATCCTGAAATCTGTATGCAACATATTTTTGACTTCTCTGATTGCTTCCAAACTGATACTCCCTAGTACAATGTCATCAACATAGACTATTAGAACAACCAATTCATTCAGAACTGTAGCAGTGAATATAGAGTAGTCACAGGGAGATTGTTTGAAACCATGTTTGATCAGAGTTTCTGTTAACTTAGCATACCATTGCCTGCTAGCCTGCTTCAAACCATACAGAGATTTTCTCAATTTACATACCTTCCCTTTGTGTTTCCCACTAGTGTCCAGACCTGGTGGCAACACCATGTAAACTTCCTCAGACAAATCCCCATTGAGGAATGCATTACTCACGTCCATTTGATGTAAATGCCATCCCTTAACTGCAGCTACTGATAATAACATTTTAACTGAAGCCATCTTTGCTACAGGTGAAAAAGTGTCACAGTAATCAATCCCATAAACCTGTGTATACCCTTTAGCAACTAATCTGGCTTTGTATCTGTCAATTGTGCCATCAGACTTCAGCTTCAATCTAAAAACCCATTTGCAACCTATAGCATGCTTACCTTCTGGTAAGTCTGTGATTTCCCATGTTCCATTTTCAAGTAAGGCATGTAACTCTTCTCTCACAGCTTCATTCTATTCTGGATGTTCAGAAGCTTCAATGTAAGTTCTTGGTTCAGCATGAGTGGTCAGGGAATTCACAAATCTTTGAAGATTTGGTTGCAAATGTGAATAAGCAACACTTTTCTGTGTTGGATATTCCACTTCATAATCAGCATGCCACTCTGGAGGCTTGGAAATTCTGGTGGACTTTCTAAGAGGAATAGGTGGATCTTCATGGGGAGAAGGAGAAGGTGAAAAAGTGAACTGAGATGGAGAATGAGCAGGAGAAGAAATAGGTGAAAAAGAAGGATCAGATGATCCTGGAGATGAGACTTCAACTGGTTCATCAGACTGTGAATGTGAAATGGGGGTTGAGCTCCCCCCCTCAGGTTGAGGAACAAATGAAGTCTCAATATCAGGGGAATTTGGAAAGAGAGGGAATTGAGAAGGTGTGGGGAAAACTGGAGGAGTAGTGGAAGGCTGTGATTCAGGATGTTTGTAAGGTAGAATGTGTTCATAGAACACTACATCTCGAGAGATAAACACCTGTTTGGTGTTAAGATCAAGGAGTTTAAACCCTTTAATTCCTGTAGGAACACCTAGAAAAACACATTGCTTGGCTCGGGGGTCAAACTTAGTTCTAGGTTGTCCTGATGTGGCTGCATAGGCTAAACAGCCAAACACTTTTAAACTGGCATAATCTGGAGGAAGATGATGCAGAACCTCAAATGGAGTCTTGTTGTGCAAAATAGGAGTGGGAGTCCTATTGATCAAGTAAGCTGAATGGAGGATAAAATCACTCCAGTACAAGAGGGGGAGGCCAGATTGAAACTTGAGTGCCCTGGCCACATTCAGGAGGTGTTGATGCTTCCTTTCAACCCTCTCATTCTGTTGGGGAGTGTAAACTACACTCATTTGATGAATGATTCCATGTGCTTGATAGAACTCATTCATATGAAATTCCTGACCTTGGTCAGTTCTAATAATTTGCACAGATTTATCAAACTGATTCTTAACCATAGAGCAGAAAGATTGCAAAAGAGGTCTAGCCTCATCTTTGTACTTCATAAGAAAGGTCCACACACATCTAGAGTGATCATCAACAATAGTTAAAAAGTAACTAAAGCCATTGTAAGAAACTGTGTTTAATGGCCCCCAGATGTCTACATGAATCAAACCAAAGGGAACAGGATTGATAGAATCACTGGAAGGAAATGGGAGCCTTTTCTGTTTGGCTAAGTGACATACATCACAGTGAATATGTTTAGAAGCTATTACATCTGGAAATTGTTTGCTAATAGCTTGAATTCTAGAAACATGAGGGTGGCCTAATCTGGCATGCCAGAGATCAAAAGGCTGTGACTGGAAATTGTGAGTGGTGGCTGCAAGACACTGGACAGGGGAGTTGGAACTTGGTGTCTTGGTGAGAAGGTAGAGTCCTCTATCCACTTGGGCTAAACCAATCCTCTTCTGTGTGATAAGGTCCTGAATAACACAGTAAGAGGATTGAAAGGTAAGTGAGACAGGATTTTGTTTAGTCAGCTTACTGACAGAGACTAGGTTGTAGCTAAACATTGGAACAAAGAGGACTTGTGAAAGAAACAAGCCACCAGGAAGTTGAACAATGCCTATGTGTGTGGCCTTTACCTGTTCACCAGTTGGCAATGTAACAAAAACTTCATCTACTGTTCTGTACTTAGTGTAATACTTGGAACTACAAATGATATGATCTGTAGCTCCAGTATCTAAGACCCATAAGGGTTCTCCAGAAGAGGCTATCAAGGATGAGAGAACAGTAGTACCTGAACTTGAAGGCAAATAGGGTGAAATAGGTGGTCGATGGGAAGAAGACACCACTCTGGTGACTGCATTTGCAGCATGGACAGATGGGGAACTGGGAGGTGATGGTGATGGAGAGGGTGATTTGATCAGCAACTGTTTCAGCCTTTCCATCTGATCCTGTGTAAAGATGCTCTCCAGTCCAGACTGTCCTTTGTTATCATTGGAACCAGCAGAGTTCTCCATTCCAAGAGAACTTTCCAATGAACCAGCAAATGCACCTTCTGAAGCCTCCCTTGCCTTCTTGTTCTTCAACTTAAAACAGTCCTTGATTAGATGTCCCTCTTTCTTGCAGTAAGAGCAAACTTTCTTACCATCTTGCTGTTGTTGTCCCTTACTCCTATACTGACCCCCACTGGAGGCACCAGCTGCAAGAGCAAGGGTTTCAACACTTGTATTTCTGTTCATAACTTTCAACTGCCTTTCCAGCTGCAAGATCTGTTCATAAACCCTGATGTTATCTTCTTGACTAAATCGATTTTTCAAGGTATCCCAGACATCCTTTGCTAACCCTAGCCTCATGACACTATTTGCTATGTCATCTGACAGAGAGTTGTAAATCCAGCAACGGATAGTGCCATTGCAACGAGCCCAGGACTGGTAGTGAGGATCTGTTACCTGAGGAACTGGAATACGTCCATCGATGAACTGGGTTTTGTTCTTGGTCTCCAAGGCCAGCAACATGACTGCGCTCCAGGTGTGATAGTTCCCATCAACAAGCTTGATGGAGATGATGGTGTGTAGAGCACCATCCTGAGGTGGTAGATAGTAAGGATTAAGATAAGGATCCTCGTATGAGGCCATTATCGCTTTGGATTTATCAGATGATTCAGATCTTTCTCCAGTGGGTGAGGTGGTTCCATCCGCCATTGTTGATGCAACCAGAACTCAACGATGAGAGGAGAAATGGAAGGAAAAACGAAAGAAGATGAAAAACGGATCTTAGCGCGATGAGCAGCGCTCTGATACCATAAGAAGATTTCTAGAAGAGAGAGTTTTTGGGGGAATTGCTCATACTGAGCTTTCCATTGATGCAGGAGATATATACAGATTACAGAGCAAAAGCAAAAGGAATCTACCTAGCCGTTAACTTTACCCTTTCTATCTACCAATAAACTCTGTACACGTGTAAAAGCTATACAGTAAAAACTAACTAAGAACCAAACGGTGCGTTGCCTTCATTCTCTGCATCATAACGTCATCGTTTTCCTTTCCCTTTGCTGACCCTGTTCTTCGTTTCATCAGCATACTTTCTTCCACAACAAGGCCAGCAAGCAGCAACTAATTTGTTGATCTCGTGATCAACTGGAGCATCATCATCGTCACCATCCATGCTCCTTGTTAATGACGTTTCCGCCGGGCATCATCAGGGGCTAAACCAGTCTGGTTAGCTTCGGACTAAGTCTGGTCGGCGGCGAAATCCCTGACGGTGGCGGTCAGATGGTGGGAGCGGGTTTCGGGCCGACTGGGCTAGCGAGTTTACTACCGCATTGGCCCATGGTGATGGGGTCAGGTTGGGCTGAGCCATGAGCATGGTCTACCACCAACCCGACAACGGGCCGCGGAGAGGGAGGGGGTACGTGGGCACCGCACACAGGCTTCTTTAATGGTGCAGGTGAACCGAAGGGTGGTTGGGGCCGCGGAGCAGGGCCAAGCGTTGCGTGTCGGCCTGATGGAGTTGGGCCTATGTTCGGCCAAGCGGGAGTGGGCCTTGGCCGACAGGCCGAGGAGCGAGGGAGAATGGAAGCGGACCGGGTGACTGTGGTTCACCATCGCAGGGGTATGGTTCGGGTCGGACCAAAGAATGAACCGAACCCTTTCAACAGAAGTTGGCTCGATTGGAATTTCCAAAGTATAACCGAAGTGAAGACTTGTCCGGTTGGTTCGCGTGAGTGGAGCAATTCTTCAAATTCCAGGAGACGTCAGAAGAGCATAAGGTGCTAATAGCATCTTATCATAAGGAGGGCGATGCCAACCAATGGTGGCAATGGGTGGACCGAACCTACACCATGACGGGGATAATGATGACATGGGCCCCGATTTCGTGAGGAGTTATGGGCTAGATTTGGTCTGTCCGATACCACATCGAGTCACGAAGCTCTCGCTAAGATCAAGCAAACCGGATCGTTAAGCGATTATCTCTTAGCTTTCGAGATATTGTGTAATCAATGCTATATATGGATGAAAGAGGCGTCAGTGCACTCGTTCATTGGTGGGCTCAAATCTGAAATTTCTGATGCCATCTGCATGTTCACACTGAAAACGGTGAGTAAGGCACTACGACTTGCCAAAGTGAAGAATGTGAAACTAGCGAAGCGTCGCGGAGCTCCACGGAATCCGACTAGGGCGCCGATAGAGACCACGATCGAGGCAGTATTTGCCCAACCTCGTGCAGCACCGCCACAAAACCCAAATGCTAGAAGGATATCGCCAGAGGAGGTAGCACGCCGCCTGGCACAAAGGGCTTTGTTTCCTTTGCGACGAGCGTTTCATTATTGGTCATCGTTGTGCCAATAAGAACGTGCTACTCATGATTGGGTCGTGCACAAACAAAGAGGAAGACCAATTCATCTATGAAAAAAACCAATTAGAGGACAAGGTTGTGCTAGGGGGAGGATTATTACGAGAACCGGGCCATCGTAGCAATTGAGTCAATTATCTGGGCTAGCGTGTCTTTATTATTTATGTCTGTATTAGTATTTACCTTGTTTAAGTAGGATTTGACTTATTGTTCGTTGTTTCCTTGTAGGAGTCATGTTTTAGGTAGGAGAATTGAAAAGTTCTATCCCTATAAATATGTACTCATTCGTTAGTTTAATATCATGAGAAGATTGGAACTCAATTTAGTTTCTTGCTTTGTTATTTGTTTAGTAGTTTCGTAGTATTTTGTGGTCGATCTTGCCATCAAAGAGGTACTCTACTAAAGAGTAGTGGAAATGATTGGCCCATTTATTGACCCATCTACATGGGCTGGGCCAAGACAGTGTTTTGGGCATTTAGAGTTTTAGACCCCTATCCAACTCTTCTCTGACCTGATGTACTGAGATTTGCCCTCTTCTTAACATGTTGATTAATTTCTCTTATTAATGAAATGAAATCGCAGGTTAACTGTGAAAAAAAAGTCTGAAACTCATTTGGGAAGGAGAAGGGCTCTCCCGCCGAGGCATGATTCTTGTTGCTCTTCGATACACCCTGCAGATACTCTACCCGAGCCTACAACACTACAGAGTTTTCTCTTATTACAGAATCACCGGCGAAACTAAGAGGAGGCGCGTGGACAAGGCACTTAGGATTCTGGACATCGTATCCACCGGAAGAGCTACCGTCGTTAGGGATCGCCGAACCCATCTGCGTCTCACTGAGGACTTTCTTCGAACGGATTTGGATCAAACCCATGAGGAGGAACACCAAATTCATGGTTCCAGACCTCCATCCAGCTCCGGAGATGGTGAAATCGATGTAGTAGCGGATAAAACTCCGGAGCCTTTTCCGGAGAACGAAGAAGGTTTGGGAGGAGGAGTCTTTGGTGCTGTCGTCCTGTCAAGCGCGGTGAGCTCATGTGTGTCCATCCGCGACCTTCGTGGCGGCATTCGGTATCATTGCTTGGCAATTACAACTGGGTTTCTCGCAAATGCGTACGTGGGGAGCTCTTTGATCACTCTGTACAGCAAGTGCGGGGAACTGGGTCATGCACACAAGGTGTTCAACGAAATGCCCGTGAGGAATGTGGTGTCTTGGACGGCAATTATTTCTGGGTTTGCACAGGAGTGCCATGTCAATCTTTGCTTGGAGCTCTACTCCGAGATGATGATGAAGTCAACACTCAGACCTAACGACTTCACACTCACTAGTCTATTGAGTGCCTGCTCCGGCATTGGAGCTCTTGGGCAGGGAAAAAGTGCTCATTGTCAAGCCCTTCAAATGGGTTTGGACTCGTATCTCCACGTTGCCAACTCCCTCATTTCCATGTACAGCAAATGCGGAAGCCTAGAAGATGCACTTTTAGTCTTCGACAACATGAGTAGCAATAATCGAGATCTTGTGTCATGGAACTCGATGATAGCTGGATACGCTCAACACGGCCTGGCGGAAGAGGCAATTGAGTTGTTTGAAGAAATGAAGAGGAATCAACAGCACCTGAAGCCAGATGCCATTACTTTCCTCGGTGTTCTATCTTCTTGTCGCCACTCAGGTTTTGTGGAGAATGGAAGAATTTACTTCAAATCAATGGCAGATGAACATGGCGTGACGCCTGAGGTAGACCATTACGCATGCCTAGTTGACCTTCTTGGGCGTGCTGGGTTGCTGGAAGAGGCTCAAGGAGTCATCGAGGGAATGCCGATGGATCCAAATGCAGTCATATGGGGCTCGCTTCTTTCTTCTTGTCGGCTTCATGGGAGTGTTTGGCCAGGGATACAAGCTGCAGAGCAAAAACTGTTGATGGAACCCGAGTGTGGCGCAACACACTTGCAGCTTGCAAAGTTGTATGCTGGCGAGAGGTGTTGGGGTGAGACTGCAAGGGTGAGGAAGTTGATGAAAGATAGAGGGCTTAAGACGAATCCCGGGTGTAGTTGGGTTGAGATCAAGAACGAGGTGAGTAGATTTAGAGCAGAAGATGGATCAAACAACAGAAGATTTGGTGAAGTTGTTGATGTTTTGGATTCTCTGGCAGACCATATGAGAACACTAAGTTTTGTGCCTGAAATATAAGGCTGCTTGGGTGTCAAAAGTTAGAGGAGACGGTTTTTCCCTGTTAGGAAAATGGTCTTTTTAACTATAAGCCTCATTTATTTCTTAACCTACTCATGCGCTGTTCAACTAGCATGGGGAACGGGGAAGATACATAATTCGACTAAACCAATGTTAGTAAAACTGAACTCTGAGTCAAAAGTTGGCAACTCCGAGCCTAAACTTGAGCTGCGGTGCAAGAAATTTGATAGCCGAAAGGAAGTGGCGATCATTTAAGTGTCTAACAACGTGAAAGAAAGAAGTCTGTCAAATTCTTCACTAACTACTCCCAGTAACATTCGATGTGTCCTTTCCCAAGCACCATGAAGACTGAAGATGCAGTAGCCGAGGCTAAGGCAACACGGACGTTACTGAATAACTCGCATCACAACTCGATTGTTGAGACAAAAGGCTCCATTTTTGGAAATCAATGCATTCATTGCTTGCACCTGGGACGCAAACTTCACTACAGCAGTTCTTATGGAATTTGGTGGCATCCCTTGCCTGCAATAGGATAGGAATGTAAAGGGCTGCCTCCCGTTGAGAAACATGATATGACTAACGCGGTATAGGAAATCAACTCAACCTTTTCACTATTTTTGGCCACTAACCTTATAAATTGGATGGAAGATGAGTCAAAATCAAAGCCTGACAAAAAGCGTTCGATATCGTCTAGTTGTGCATTTGGAGGAACTCCTTGCACCAGAACCTTCAATGAATGAGAAATGTTAATTGAAAAGAAAATTTGAGATGCAGGCATGCAATGCATATATACATCGGACAAACTTGCAGCTACTGAGATATCTTATGATCATGCGAAGCTAAACATGTAGTATCCTTCAAGCTGCACAAACTTCAAAAGCCACCAAGAACCTCATCACACATCATACATGGGTTCAAGTGTTCACTACTGTAATGAGAGTAACTGCTTCATTTGTTAAAACAATTTGCATATGACCTAAAGCTGCAAGTCCTGCCATATATTTCGTTGCTTCGGATCCCTAAAAATGCAGCTTAAAATGTAATTTATACAGATAAATTAGTAAATTCTGAAGATGGAGACAAAACAAAGAATATGGGATGAAAGACTCCACACTGCTTAACCATACAAAGTTGCATTCAGTTGCTTGATTAAAGGGTTGATGGCTTTCATCATCAACAGGGAAAACTGAAGGAAAGCTAAAGCACAACGGGCAAAATAAGAAGAGAATCAACTTGACTCACAGTTTTTCCATAGAAAGGCTGTTGAAGATCCCACTCAGAACGGTTAGCCTGTCATCCAGAGTTAGCAGCATAAGCAACACCTAGATGAAAGAACAACACGAACCGAAACACATAACCTTACTAGTGACAGATTAACTACAGTCACACGCACCATTTGCAGCCTGTATAAACGACCCTTCTTCGCAATGACCTTAAATGCATTGTCGTAGGCTTGACGGGAAGGAAACTGCAATAGCCTGAAAGCAATCAAAATATCACTTGCCAAGTTAAGAACTCAAACTATGAAAATCTCCAATGATCTCAATGGAGACAAGCAGTAAGTAGATAGTGCAAATCAGCCAACCATAGCATTTGCTTTCATGGGGAAGGAAATGAAATTACTGGCAAAATCAAAAACATCCATGAAATTCGTACTAAAAACGACAATTAACAGAGACGAATCTTCATACACTGCAACAGGACCATAGCTACGGGTGTAGTTGAATTTGATATCCTCAAGACCCAAGTCACAGCCCTCTAGCATATTGATAATGTCCGTCTTCAGCGTATGCCTAGTGTTGCCGAACAATTTCCCGTATGCTGTAACAGAAGGTGGACAAGATAAAAGAAAATAAAAACGTAATTCACTAGCCATAAACCCTAAACTAAACCCCCCATTTCCTAATCGCTAATTTCGCACAACAGATGATTCCTTCCATAAGAGTAGCTGAAATAAAGGTGTTTATGAGATTACCGGTGCCAGGATTCTGAAGGAACGGATCCACGGATGGGTTTGCCGGCGCTGATGCCGGGGAAAGAGGCCGTCCTGCTTCGGTGGAGAAATGATTCGCAGATTGGAGGAGAAACGGGGGAGATCCAAGTCCTGAAGCGGAGCTTCGGAGAGCGAAGGCCGATCGGATTCCGTTTCTTAGAAGACTCATCTTGAAGGTCCGGCGAGGCAAACTGGTCGGTTCTCTCGGGTTGCTAACCAGTCGAGTAGCAGAAGCAAGCGAAACTAACGACGAGGGTAAAGCAAGAATGAAGGAGAGCGATGAATTATGGGCCCAAATTTAATTCCGATTTTGGGTAAATATTAGGTAGAAATGTAGGATACGGCAGGCCAGGTTTAGGCCCAGCATTGTTAGAAGGAAAAAAAAAGTTGTACTAACTTGTAGTTTTGTACAACTCTACTACATAATACATACAACTAGGGTTGCAAATGAACTAAGATGCTCGGTTCAACTTTTAGATCAGAAAGAGTTTTTTCGACACTCGATTCTTTTACTAACTATTGAGTTTGAGTAAATTTTTATTTAAATCATAAGCAGTGGTAGATCTAAGTGTCAAGAAGTCATGTCGCCTAATTTTTTTTTTTAGAAATATACATTTTGTCAGTATAAAATGTTCGAATACAAAGCCCCATACACAAATCTAATAATTGTAACTCACACACCTTGAGCTGCAAAATACTCATTGTTATAAATTTAGTGAAACATATAAATATATATTATTCATTGAATTATTAATTAACCATAATACATTGATTATTCCTATATTATTTTTAAACAAAAACAAACAAGCCCACCATTAAAACGAAACGGGAGGGGCTAGTGTGCCAATACTTTTCTTGTTAGCATAGTGCTAACACTAGTTTCAACCAATAGGAACATTTTGCTCGGATGATGATGACTAGGTATTTGCACATATTTTGTCCATCATTCTTATACTGTTTCGGCCTCGTCTTTGGTGTTTTAGGCCAATTTCACGCTAAGTTGTTCTTGTTAGTGATATTTCAAGTCCTAGTACGTGAATGAAGGTTCAGGCACGAGTTCGGGTCGATTGGACGAAGTTGGGACATTCGACACGAAGCTGAGGAGTTTATGCGGTCTGGCCATAATTCTATGTGGTCGTGCAAGTTGGCTGTGCAAGGGAGTTTACACGGCCAGGGCCATACGGCCCGTGCGAGGGAACTTTTCAGCCGTACAGGGGTGTCTAGGGAGTCCACATGGCCTAGTTTGGGTTCTACGCGGCCGTACATCCTGGCCATGTGACAGCCAGCGAGCAACTGAGTGCAACGCCGCGGTTCGGGGTTCACACGGGAAGACCGGAGATTCACACGGTCGTGTGGTCTGGCCGTGTAATCGGGCAGAGCTGGGTTTTAACCCAATTTCGAATCTTTGAGAAGGGATCTGTGAGAAACACATTTATTTAGGTTTTCTATTATTATATTAGGTAGGATAATTATAATTATGGTTAGTAGAAATTTAGTCGTATTAGGATTACTATTAGGGTTTTCTAGTATTTCCTATATATATATATATATATATATATATATATATATGGTGGCAACTTCGGTGCACTCACTTTTTTGGGTGCATTCAGTGCACCCACCTCTAAAAGTGGTCATAATACATCAAATTTTGAAATTTAATGGGTAGCATTAGTCTCATATGATGATATAACACAGAATCACAACTAATCAACTCATTACCCTAACCTATTAACATTCAATTTTGAATCTAAACCCAAAATCCCAAATTGTAAACCCTAACCCTAACCCTAAATTCCTAAACCCCGAATCATTCAAATTAAAGTGAATCTTGAATGATTTTTGTACAAATTCATGTGGTTCTTGTTCATCATACTACAAGGGATGATTGACATCGTTTTCACATGAATCGCCTGCTCAGAATGACGATTATGAGGCGGGTGCATTGAATGCACCCAAAAAAGTGGGTGCACCGAAGACATAACCATATATATATATATATATATATATATATATATATATATATACTTTGGGTTTACGTCATAATCAATCAAGAAGAATATTAAGCAAAGTCCCCTAAACACTAATCTCTCTCAACTCCCAATTTCTATCCTCTCCTAATCCAAGGCCTCGGCCGATTCCCAATTCTATTCTATCTCATCTAAATCCCTAATTCTTTCTCTCAAACCCTAAATCCCTACTTATTACGAGTGCCGAAGATCAGTATCGAGAATCCCTAGAAGCGTGAATCTCCCAGGATCCAAGTTTGAGAACAAGAAACAGAGACCTAGAGAGAAAAACTGACGAACCCAACCTCCAAGGTGACCTAGATCGAGTTTTGACGCCATTGGAGCTCGATTGAAGCCTGTAAAAGTGTCGATTGACAACCAGATCTGAAGTTCATCCTCCACAAGATGATTATGCATCTGAAGCAGACTTCTCTTCTCTCTCTATGGAGTAAACTCCCTCTCTCACCTAGGTATGAAGAACCCTATATTATATTCAAGAGATAGGTCATACGACCCCCACTTTACAACAAATGCCCACTCATATAAATTGAAAATATGACATGTAGAGGGAAGCTGTAGAGGGAGATTTGGGATATCTCTAGAGTTTGGGAAGCTGTAGAGAGAGATTTCTTCATCAAATTAACCCTAAATCATTCCAAGCTCAAGAGAGGTGGCCAAAGCAAGAAGGAGAAGATAAATCTAGTTCAAGATTGGTGTTCTTCTCCTTTTGTACACTTTATTTCTCTTTTTTTCTATGAACTAACTAAACCCTTGTGTTGGTTAGATGTAGAACTCTCTAGATGTTTTTTAGGGATTTTATTGTGTGGATTGGATTATATTTGATTCTCGTTCAACTATCTATCTATGATGCATGATTTTAGGGTTCCACTTATGTGATTGTGACTTTTTTTTTTCAAATTCTAGCGTTTGACCCACCATAGGTGTCAATATTGTGTGGTTGATAGGACCATGGAGACATGACTTCCCCATACTTTATGTATATCTATTGATTGCATGAATTGGAATTCTAGTCGAGTATATTTAGTTCTTGAAGATTGAGGAGGTGATCGTGCCCCAATATCTAGGGTTTTGACCACAATTTGTTAGTTGAGGATTGTGTGGTTTACCGAACCATGGCTCCACATGAACCTTTACTTAGGTGGAAAGAGCCCTAATTACATGAGCATCGAGTTAGAGCTTGGTATAGGTATTTTCATGGAGTGAATAACGAATTAATCCAAACCCCTATAACATTAACCCGTATCAATCACCGAAGGTAGTTCCAAGTCTAACTAACATCACCTCTTCCCTGGTGAATTCCCCCGCTTTAGTTTTATTTATTTCTTCGTTTATTTTGTTCCATGGTAAAGGAAACCGTACCGGACGTCATACCGGATCCGCCAGTGGTAGGGTATTTTGTGGTACTACCGTGGTTCAATCGTTGTGTACCGGTAAAATACCGTTTTTGTAATTAAATAATATTTTTTTGTTAAAAAACCGTACCGGCAGATTCGGGATACCGTTTCGGAATAATACCGGAATAAAATCGGAATATACCGAATAACAAACAACATTCTTATGCAAGGAACAATGAGCCCAAATTGGATCACTTTTGCTTCGTACGCCCTTTGCGATGACCTTCGGATTACTAGGAGTTACTCCTTTATCAACCGATTTGGCTTCTTCTCCACCTCCACTAGCCATTGCTGTCAAAACAACCAAAATTGTCATTGAAATAGAAATTTACAAATTACTGTCATACAGATGTCTAAGACACAGGAGTTTGAGTAAAACTCTATTTAGCATGATTTATTTTTAATGTCTTGGACCTGATGCATAACTTCAGATTAGTCTGATCACTTTCACAGATATAGGATAACTGAAACCGAAAGACACATATAACATATAAATATATAATATAGCTCGCTGGCAAGAAAAAAACGAAATTTGCTCTCACTTTAGCTTCAAATTTGGATATGAACCAAAACAGATAGGCGAGGAATGCCGGCTGAGGAGCAGGAGAGGGAGAGGCGAGGCGCGCCGGCTGAGGACGGAGGAGCGACAGAGTGGTGGAGCTGAGCAGTGCGGCGGCGGATCTCCTTTCGTCGGTCGCCACTCGCCAGCGCGGCGGCGGATCTCCTTTCGGCGGTCGCCACAGGCTGGTTGCGGGTGTCACTTTCGCGCGCCAGTCTCGGGTCGCCGGTTGCAGGCGGCCAGATGAGATGAGGAGCGGCGGAGCGGGGCTGCGTCTCCTCTGCCTCTGGTGTGGAGAAGAAAGACCCAGGAAAAGAAAACTCCAAAGTCCAAAGGCAAAATCTCGATACATTAGGTTTTTGCGGTTTTTGCTTTCGGCCGAATTTTTTTTTTTGTGTGCCAAACGACGTAGTCTGACTGTCATACAGCTTACCGCCGGTTAGACCAAAACCGGGCGGTTTTTTGTTTTGTGCCGGTTAAACCAGCAAAACCGGGCGGCACGGTAATCTTCCCGCAAATAGCCTGCCGTATCGTCCCTGGTCCGGTTCCCGGTTTTACCGGTCGAACCGGCCGGTACGATCCGGTTTCCTGGTCCATGTTTTGTTCACGTTTAAACCATCAACCCTCATGTTTGACTAGAAAGTGGGTCCAAGCTAAGAGTAGTAGCAGACCTAGAGGCCCTTTGGAATACAACCTCGATCACCACTATACTACTTGGCCAATTTGAGTTATGGTTGGCTCAAATTGGAGTGGTTAGTTTCATGGACGATCGAGCTATAAATTGTAAACACTATCGGGGTCTTTACCCGTCACATCCTCTCCCTCTCGGGTTGTATAATGCACACTATTACGTGCGTTAGAGTTAACTATATGAACTATGTATCTATTGGTATTGTTATAGTCTCGAAATGACTAAACGAATAAACCGAAAGCTTCTAGAGGAGAGGGTTGGACAGAGAATCAATTCCCTTGTCTGTTTTATCACCTTGGAGAAACAATTTAATGAGGAAGGAGTTGGGTTGTCTTAGAGATAAGGAAGGTGGTAGTCACATTAGGAAAAAGGGAAGCTATTTGTCCTCTGAAACTCCGCCGAACGTGAGAGAAGTGGGAGCTGGAGCTCTTTATGCCTTCACCCTAAACCCTCGCCAAATCCTTGTTCAACTATCACCACTTGAATTAGTAAAAGCTTGTTAGTTTAGAGTTAGCAAGGAACTCTGTTAATTCGAGGTATTGTCCATATCTTTCTGGGTCCTTTCGTTAGTTAAAGTCATTGGGGAAATGGGTAAGAGTGGGGTGTGGTTAGTGTGAAATTGATGGTGGAAATTTGTACTTCAACATGGATAAGTATGTTACCTAAACATGCATGCATATCTATGGATTCGTTTAGTGTGGGAATGATGATGTATATATATATATATGCGGGACAATGTGTACTGCATGTTTTAATAAGGTGAGGAGGGCAGGTGATACTTTAACCCATTTGTAGTTTTGGAGTGGGAAAATTAACTTGAGTGAGCTGGAGATTTTGGCCTAGACTTTGGCCTCATATGCTAGTCCTTTTGGAAGACCAGGAACCATCGTGTGTTTGCAGGCAAGATTGTAACTTTTGAAGTTTTTATACAGCGTGTTCAATTTTGGATAACTGTTATGAGGAATGTCATGAACGAATGTGGAGATCTCATGGAAGCTGCCACCTCCCATGTGGGTCACTCTCAACATGGATAGCTCTGTTCATACCAATACAGGTGATGCTGCAGCTAGTAGCCTTGTACGAGATCACCTATGACTCTGTCTTTTGAAGTTCACTTTTAACCCGGGCAGATGCTCTATTACCCAGACGGAGTTGAGGGCGCAGTTGAAGGTCTGCCAAAAGTTTGGGATGCTGGCTATAAATGAGTGTGACTGGAACTAGACTCTGCTTGTGCTTGCCAGCTGCTTTGGAGCTCCAGTTCCAGCGAGCATGTAATCATAAAATCAATTCAAATTAAGGGTAGCACGTAATTAGTGTAATTGTTAAATTTTGAAAATAGTTGGGGATAAGGAATAACATTTTTACTATTACATGGTGTTTAAAATAGAACAACATATGAGTTGCAACCTAATAGAGAATATGTTTAAATAATCGTAATGCTCTATATTTGAATAACACATACTACCACTTAAGTTTTTTTAATCATAAGCAAACTACTGTCGAGTATAGGATAATCGTATTTTCAAATTTTACGGATGTGTCGGATTAACAATTATATTTTCTTATCTATACAATACTACTACCGGGGGTTGGCTGACTGTTTTTTTTTTTTTTTAATTTTAAGAGTATCCCCGGACACCGTTAAAGTCACATGTATCCTCCTGTACACGAACCAAACCACATTAAGATTTTTTGGTTGAAGATCATACACTATCATTTTTTTTTATTTGATTTGCGAATTGCCTCTTTTCCGATTTTCCTCATTATCATTGAAATTCTAAATTAAACGTTATGTTACCTTGACGAATTTAGGTTAAGGCGTTGTGCACTTCGCACCCTTCTACGCGGCGTAGGTGTCATTTTATTTCCCCCCATTTGCCTTCGAAATTAGGTGGCAAAAGAATTGCTCGCAGTGCGAACCGGTCAGCTCCTTCCTCCCGGAAAATTCTTCTCCGTACACGCACGCAAAGAACTCGATCCCGTTGTCGAGCCTACGCTCGTCCGTTGGTGTATCCAGGTCCGGCCGAACTCCGAAGAACGTCTTTTGGATATCTGCGATTCGATTCTCGAGTCGGTGGTTTTGTGATTCTCCCGATGTTGATTCGATCGGAGAAGGATTACAGGCTCTCGCCTCTGATTCTGACCTATTCGATTCTCCTCCTCAGCTGCTTTCCCGGTAAGGAACCGGAATGTTCTTTTGATCAATCGCGATTATATATTCGTGATTAGGGTGGTCAATTTACGCCGCATTAGGGATTGAAGTTCAGCTGGATTTCTTTGCAGGTTTGACGCTCTCGGCCGACGTCACGCTGGATTCCATGGAAATCTACAATACTCACGAGTGGCTAAAGAGTTCGAACCCGACGGTGTATTTCCGCTGCAAAGGGGAGGACGAAATTGAATTGCCTGACGTCAAAGAAGTCAATGTCACGTACAGGTTCAATGGCGATGAATCTTGGCAGGTAAGGCATGTTGAATCAGCTCCTTTTTAGGGAATTGGTTCTAGGAGGAAAGAACTCATGGCTTCAGTACAGATATGGCAAAGTAATTGAAAATGATCCTTGCTTGTAGAATTTAAGGCAACGCATTAAGTAATTTATGATGCTTTCCCTTGTTCTTGCATTTAAGCCATTGACAGAGCTTACGTCCAAGAAATGCAAGCGTTGTGGGTTCTATGTAAAACACATCATTAAATCCGACGATGTGTTTGAAGAATGGGAGTTGTGTCCTTCGGACTTTTTCGATTCGGATGGCAAGTATCGGCGTGTCAAGGAGCAAGAGTTTGATGCGGCCTTTTTGTGCAAACAGTGCGTGCCTCTGGCAACTGGTCAGTACTTTCCTTGTTTATAGTTATACCATCGTTTCCCATCTGCATTCCCTCAATCACTAGAACCTAATTCACATAAGTTATTCCATAAAGCCTCTTATGCTATCATATTATGTGTGGGGTTGGTATTAGATCAATTCTTAGAGTTCTCCCAACACCTCGAGATGATTGAATTTCGACGTTATAAAGTGTGTTTAGTTTTTGTTCTTGTGCATGAAGCAGTTTTCAGCTACATGGCTATGTTAATGAATAATTAATGAATGGTTTGAACTTCCAATGGAACTGAAATGTCTTTTATCTGCTTGGGAGCATTTGGGTTGTGGTATTCACAAAGCAAATTTCCCATCTTTATTTGGATTTTAATTAGGATGCACAGATTGATCAGTTTCCACGACCGTGCTGTGAGGGCGAAACAATCAGGGTTTACCCTCTTGCTGCCCTGTCATTTTTATGGGAAATCTGTCATTTGGGTTGTGATTCACAAAGCAAATTTCCCATCTTTATTTGGATTTTAATTAGGATCCACAAATTGATCAGTTTCACAAAGCAAATGTCTTTTACCCTCGTGTTGACCGTGCTGTGAGGGCGAAACAATCAGGGTTTACACTCTTGTTGCCCTGTCATTTTAAGTTTAAATCTGTTATTATCTGTGCTGGTTGATGAATAGCTAAGTGCTTTTCTTACTTTCAATTGTTGCCGGTTCATAATTGTTCCTCGACAGATTCAAATGGAGACTCTAGTAGCTCATCTCACAAGGGGAAAGGAATGCGTGTTGCTGTGATTATACTGATCTGCGCTCTAGTTTCCACCGTTTTGATTCTGGGGTCAGTTGTAGCATACAAGCACTGGCTGAAGAAGAAGAGGCAACAAGAACAAGCTCGGTTTCTAAAACTTTTCGAAGATGGTGATGATATTGAGGACGATTTGGATCTGGATACAATGTAGATGAATACTCAGTAGCCTTCTTACTTTGATGTACAGATGATGTTGCATTTTACACGAATTGGAAGCTAACAGAGCATGGATAATGTAAGCACCAATTTTCACTTCTTCAGTGACTGGTTGAAGTTATCCAATTCTTTTGAATCGAAACCATAGATCGCCTTGATCGTGTCTCTACAAGAGCTGCAAGCCTCTTTATTGAATTTCTTCTTGTCGATGCCATACAAGGACTCGAACACATCAACCTCGACTCGGCAAAAGTATGGCCGATCTGGGAAGGAGAGCCAAAAAGAGGTTTCAAACTTGGAACTGTAGCGAATATTTGAACTCTATTGTAACAAAATTAAGAATAACCTGCGTAAATTGAGCACTTGCGGGTGCTTTTCTCGTAGTGTATGCACCATCCATCCGGGCCTATTAAGCTTCTATACAGCTGAAAGCGAACCAGTTGGGTCGGTCATTTCGTCGAACAGTAGGCGGGCAACAAAAATAAAGGTTGGAAAGCAAACCTCGACATCGGAAGGATTGGAGAAGATTTCTTCGGGAGTGGCAAAAGAGGGGCCCTTGGCCAGCTTGCAGCACGCACCGCAACCCTCTACGCATTTCCATGAAAGCTCCTTCCTCTCGCCGCCGAAACCTTTCTTGGTGCTTCCTCCCGATGTTTTCAGCTGTTGCTGCTGCCTTCTTGTTGCACTGTTCTCTCCTCCATTTTGTCGCTGGCGGGCGGCTATAACGACGCTGCTAAAACATGGGAAAGCTGCGACGTGAGCCATGGCCGTTCAGAAGACAGTAGCGTTGCTCGTCGTTGTCACTTGTACCCTTTGCAACCGGCTGGATTTAGTTTCCTTTAGACCTTTACCGCACATCTAGCATATAATTGTCCCTATAAATTTTTATATTGGGTCATTTGGATTCAGGTTTTTAATTTGTGGGATTTTGGCTCAAATTACTGGTTTAAAAACCCAGGTTTTTAATTTATGGAATTTGTGTGGGATTTTAAAATAGCTGATCACCATCAGCTATTTCATAATCCCACAATTGTGGGTTTCTGAAATCTCTAATATTTAAAATCTCTCATCATATAATTGCTTTCCAAATGAGTGATTTTAATAAAATCCCACACTATGTAGGATTGTGCCCAAATCTCACACCCAAAACCTGCATCCAAATGACCCCATTATTAGGTATATACTTGCTGAATCGCTATTCGTGACCTTAAAATTAAAATTTTATCGCCCTAAAACACAATAATTTGACATATTTAGCCCAACACAATTAAAATTCTAATTTCTAAACCTATAGTTCGTCAAAAAAAAAAAAAACCTATAGTTCAATTCCATTAAATTTATTCTAAGCAACAGTCAACCATAAATTTTGATAGGTAAATAGGTGATGTGACAATAAAATAAATAATTTTCAGTTTTTCATTTTCAACCCTCATCGAACTAATTTTCAATATAGCCTAGTGAGCTATCATCTGAACAATAACATAAATACATCACACCTTCGAACTTGAGTGGCCGGAACAATGGTAACTCATTATCGAGTGAACCCACTACAAAATAATTATGGATTGAATTGCAAATCATATTTAGTTTCAACCAATATCGTTTAATCTTATTCCATGGATGTATTGCTTTACTTCCCGACTCAAGGGTGTGTACCCCTTGAGGTCTATTCTCCTAGGATTTTCTTATTGGTAGATCTAACTTCGATTGGTTCTCTTTGGGTGAGAATAAAACCATTGACAATGGCTGCAAATCGAAATCTTCTAAAGCTACTTCTATCTTATGAGTACCCAAATCAACGGATGGTGAATGAAATAGTGAAATCGGTGAGATTGGGAAGAAATGGGGTTTTGGACGTGTGGAGGGGAAGGAGTGGGAATTTGGTGGTTTGATGGGATGAACGGAAAGAGAGGAAGGGTTTGAACGTGTGAAGAAAGGAAGGGAGGGGGGCTCAGCAAAGGCAGGGAGAAAGGAGTGCGGAGCTCAAAGTTATTGTCATTCAAAATTTGGCAAAATTAAAAAATTGTTCGTTCGGAGCAGCAAAAAACGTTTTTTCGGAACGAAGGTGAGACCAAACTGTCTATAATTATTTGCGGTTTGCAAGACCTCGAAAAATTATGCGGAGTCGGAAAAATATTCGCTATGATCGGATACCCGAATTTGAATTTCCAAGTTTATGATTTTACCGATATGCAATAGGTTCCAATCTTGATTTTACTAAATTTTTGAATTTTCAAATCCTATAAAATTCAGCTTCAAAAATTATAAAATTCAGTAAATCTATAATTTCAATGTTTAATCTATAGTGACTGGTGATGACCTATAAAATACTAAAAGAAATTATTTCTACCACTTATTGCACGCAAATTACATAAAAAGGAAACGTTTCAGTTCTGTCGACAACATTGCAATTCCATTATATTTGCCGAATTGCATTGGTAAATCCTTCATCCAACAACAATGCCGCCTTAGCTTAAAATATCAAATAGGAAATAGCTACGGATCCGGTGAACAAAGGATACATTCAGCTCACAGTAGGACATAGAATTCTGACAAAAGCTACATCACAACATAAAAGAAAATCCATAGTTGAAGGTTCCAAATACTGAACATTTAAATTTAAGACCGGGGAGTGTAGCTTCAGGGACTATTAGCCGCTCTATCTCATTCAACTTTCAGGGAGACACGCTGTCTCTAGGCGAGCGACGGTTGTTTTCAAAATCATCTTCAACAGCAGGGCTCTTGTCATCCCTCGCCCTTGGACTAGGGCTGCGGCTACGGCTTGGACTTCGGCCATTGGCCGGTGGACTCTCGTACCTGCCATTCTTAGGGCTCTCTCTTTCTGGGGTCCTGCTCCTACTCCTGCTCCGGCTCCTGCCCCTTGGACTGGCACTATACTCTCGGTCATCATCCTCCACCTTCCTAGCTTTGGGAGAAGGGCGTGGGCTTCGGTCTTCAGGAGTAGGGCTACGCTTCCTCCCCTTGGAAGGGCCATCGTTCCTTGGGTCCGGGCTCATTGACCTGGCCTCGTTGTCTACACTTCGGTCTCTCTTAGGCACTGGAGACCTCGATCGGCTGCAAGTAGAAATGTGATCCAATCAGTCTCGTTAGTTAAACTACAAACGAGATGCAACAGACAAAGCTCTCATATGATTGCAGACAAAGCTCTCATATGATTGCTTGCTACTGACGAACCTGTAGCTGCAGCCTCGGCTGTAACTTGGGCTGCGGCTCCTGCCACCACGACGAGGTGATGGGGACCTTGAGTAGCTTCGCCCACGCCTGTTCATTTAACATAGCACCCAATTATAATGAGAAATAGAAATCGTGGAAATTGCAAGCAGTCGCTACTACTATTTAGAACCAAGCAGAAATTTATGAAGGGAAGAAGAATGACTCACTTCAACTTCTGAGGGCTGTTCTTGCAATTTCTCTCGATGTGGCCCCTCTCCCCACATCTGTAGCACTTATTCTTCCAATCACCAGCTTTGCAATCTCTAGCCCAGTGGCCATCAATACCACAATTGAAGCACCGCCCAGATCCAGGAGGCGGACCTCTCCCCAGGTATTCCTTGGAGCCTCGAGGTACCTATCCTCGTCAGCGAACAAGGTTAATACAGTATGAAAAAGGTTGGGCCGCTTTAAGCAGCATAACCATTAAAGAACATCGACTAGCACGGTAAAATTGAACCTACCCCTTTAGCAACTTCCACAATGATCCGACTTCCATCAACATCTCGGCCATCTAAGTGATACCTCGCATCATCAGCATCCCGTGGATCACTAAATTCCTGTAGAGATGTAAAAGAAAACAACAAAACCGCAAACGAGACGATATAGTTTAAGGTAATAATCTGTCAGACACTAGTAGACAATACAGAGTTCAATTATACATCCGCCAGACAAATAATGAACCGAGCTAATGAGAAAAATGCACAACACTTACAACGAATGCATAGTCACGCTTCATATCCACATCTCGGACTCTGCCAAAACGGTTGCCACAAACAGTAAGGCCATCATTACGTGTAAGAGTACTGCAAGTTGTATGATACTTCACTCCTCATAGACGTACTAAACACCAGTTTGAATGAACACCACTTTGAGAGATTGTTGCCATTTCCATTCAAAAATACGCAATAACATAATAGAAAGAATCGCCAAAGTCCCCTAGGCAAGAATTTCCACCAATTTCCACCATGGCAACCATCTCACCACAGGCCTCCAGGTAAGGCAAAAGCCCCAGAAACCTTCAACAAGATCATTCAAGTTAAAAACAATAGACACCTAGGCACCACAACATTTCCCATAGAGAAAACTTGAGCAAATCAATGCGAGAAAGAAACAGTTGAAGACAAATATGTCCAACAAAAGAAAATTGAGGGGACTGAAAATACATACCCCAGGACAAACCATGTCAGTCAGTAGGAAAATATGAATATTGGAGGCGTATAAAAAGTTCATGCATAAACACAAAAACCCACATCAAGTCCAAGAGATTTTATCTTCATGTGCAACTCACCTCCCATATTTGCTGAAGACATATTCAAGATCACGAGACCTTGTGCGGGGGGCTAGATGGCCAACATAGAGGCGGGTGTTGGCATATCTGTCATCATAACGCGGCATCTTCAAGCTGCGAGATGAAGAAGGTTACAACACAATGCAACTAAATAACACCAAATGAAACAGGGGAGACAGTCGCATATTAAAAACAGCTAGCTGATGCAATGCCTTCAGCTATGGCAGATACATAATTCATTCCACACAGATCACAAATACGAAAGTTCTCCCTAAAATAATAACATAAAACGGTCTAATTGAGTCCTAATTAATCTCTCTGTAGCACAATAGTTTCACTACAATGTAAAGACACAGACTTCACTCCCCCCCTTCACAAAGCACCTAACCTTAAAAATAATTTTCCAGACAAAGATCTGTTTTTTTTTCCCCTCAAGCCACGCAACTATGTCGACACTGCCAATGAAGATCCTAAGCAGCAGCACCCATGAAAACAAAAACTACATTACCAGCGAGGCAAGGAACGGATCAATCAAATTACTCGGATGAGACCCACACCGCCATAAATCTCAGAAAGAAGCCGCGTATAATCGGAAAACCCTAGCTGAAAACCAATCTACAAGCTGAGGCCGAGAAATTAAAACCCCTAGAATGGTGAATTAATCACACACAGGGAACCAGATGAAACTGAAAAAACCTAGAGCGGGCTCTCACCTTTGAAGAAGAAATCACGAATCTTGGTTTCACAGCAGCAGCTCTCTCGTTTGCGAACACGAGCAGCGTTTTATTTCTGGAGCGTAAATTAAAAGACAAAAGAGACGCAGAGGCGTAATTTATCCACCGAGAATGGACTTCGACGGCCAGGATTTCTTTGTGCGATTGATCGGAGGGTTGGCATCGGCAGGAGTAAATGGTTGACCGACTAGTTTCCCCCTTCTCCTGATTGGATAATGGATACTAAACTTTCAGCCCATGGGCTCCTAATACGGGGTATTGTTAAGTCACGTTTCTCCAAGGCCATGTATCCAGATTCCTAAATACCCAAATACGACGAATAGCAACTAGGATGGCAATGGATCGGGTCGGGTCGGATTTTGTCAAATTCATGGGTTTATCGGTGAAAAATTCGGGGTAAAACCCATTGGATTTGAAAAACTCAAACTCAAACTCAACTCAATCCGCTGGATATCCGCGAGTTCATGGGTACCCATGAGTTTTTGTCGTAAAAAAATTACAATAACAAGTTTCCATCAAAATCAAAGTCAAATAACAGTCTCTCAATGCAAATTATCCATATAGAAAACATCATTCTAGAAAATTCAAGCAAATCACAGATTAACCATACAAATTGTTCAACACCAATCTAGAAAACTCAAGAAAATTGAAGCAAATCACAAATTATCCATAAATAACATATGATTAATTGAAAGCTTCTTCCTCCTTGTCAATTAAGCTTCTTCACTCGCCACTCCATAATTTCAACTTCATTCTACACAATTAGAATGAAAAAATTAGACATGTCTTCACAAACATAAAGAAGATTAGTTGCTTAGAATATTAAATATACCGGAAAAATTAATTATATGAGTGTGGGCTGCTACGGATCGGAAAATCGCCGGAAACGAGAAAGCAAGAATACAAAAGTGAGAATCGAAAATACGACACACGATTTACGTGGTTCACTAACACGATGTGTGTTAGCTAGTCCACTGGCGAGAGAGAGCCAGTTTCACTATATCGAGGAGATTACAGATTATAGATTACAGATTACAGAGGAGTATGAGAAGTATTTATAGTACTTCTCTTAGGTCTAACCCTAATCCAATCTGGTAAAGAAAACGGTTATAGACCAGGCCCAATCGTAGCGGCTGATAGTTCGATTCAAGTCACATCAACAAAAATAATATAGCCACAATCATGTTTACTTGGTATCACATCTAACTAAATGTGTCCATCCAATTCCATGTCCCAAATTAGCCAGCACCAATCTAGTTGTACCCAAGTTTTGATGGAAAGTTCATTAGCAGTTTCTCTTTATAGACAATGATGTAACTGTCAACGGATATATAAGTTCACAAAGAAAACCCTAAGCAATTTCCACAAACAAATTCATCAAAGCAAGCCTCAAAATAAGTTTAAACTTATAAGGAAGAAAACACCAAACATATAAATATGGCACTTGGAAAAAAAAAAAGAAATACTAACACTAATTATAGATCATCTACTTATCTTACTAGTTATTTCAAAGACAAATTCTTATCATGTTGTTCCATGAACTGGTGCACCACTAAGTCAATGGTTCCACTTAGGGCTGGGAAACAGTCCGGTTCGGTTTAAACCGGACCGGATTGACCCGATTTTTTATAACCGGATTGGTCATATACCCAACCGTAGACGGGATTGGATTGATACACGGTTTTAACCGTGACCGGACTGGATTGATCCGGTTTCAACCCAAAAACCGGATCTCCTTTCTTCAATTCCAAAACACAGCCGTTTTCATTAAAAAAAACCCAGCTATTTGAATAACAAAAAATTCCATTATCCTTCTCCTACCAACCACACAACCCCATCTATCCCTACTTTCCCAAAAAATTCACCATATCCTTCTTTTAATCTACCTTCACGATTCTTCTTCTCCCTCTCCCTCTTATAGATCAAACAAAACACAACACAAGCATCGCCTTCTTCTCCCTCAAGCACTACTCTGGCTCGCCCTATCGATGAGCTCGATTGAAGTTAGAGAGGCGAGAAGAGTTGGATCTGGAGAATCGATTGGAGCCGCGAGAGCCGGGAAGGGGAGATCGAGCGAGAGAGGGAGCATGCGAGCTCTGTATAGGAGAGGCATGTCGTCGCGGCCGTTGCGTGTCAATCGACCAGATCGCCTCATCGTCACGATCGTCGCGTGCCGATCGATCAGATCTCCTAGCCCTCGTCGTCGCTGTCTGGCGAGTTCTGGTGTGACGGAGTGGCTACGGTAGGCGAAGTGATGGAGGGAGCCAATTGGGGAGCTTGGATTTTCTTTCTCCTTCCCCTCTTCGTGTGTGTGGGTCTGTGATTGGGAAAGAGAGAAGTTTGAGGGTCAGGAGGGGAGAGAAGAACAAAGAAGCTTGGATCGATTAGGGTTTGGGAAAGGGATCGTGGGTTGGGCTGTGATATAAGTGGGGTGGGCTGTGAGATTAGTGGGCTGGGCTGGGGCTGAGATTTATTTATTTTTCGCTATCCGGTTTTTCCGGTTTTAACCGGATTGGACCGGACCTGTGGGCACTACAACCGGCAACTGGATTGGATTGGTTGGGATCCGGTTTCCAGTTTCAACCGACACGGTTTTAACTGGCCGGTTTCCGGTTTGACCGGAAAACCGGGACTGGATTCCCAGCCCTAGTTCCACTAAGCGACGAGTACATTAATTTGTGAAGCCTTATTGCATTTCTTGATTATGAGAACGTATTCAAAAGCCATTATTCAAATGTTTTCGTTCCATGATAGGGAAAAGAGTAAAATGAAATTGATGTTAGACCCATTAAAACAGCTTTGAGATAACTTCCAGATTAGCTTACAACCACTCCAATCTCTACTACTTCTCACTAAACACGGTCATCGCCAAAGTCAGAGATTTGATAAAATTCACAAATTCCCTTGGGATTCCACAATTCCCGATGGGAAGGGCTAATGACATTGATTAGCTAATCATTAGGATTAGTATTCATTAGAAACTCCAATGGTTGCATAAAAAAAAAAGTTAAACACGGTAGAGAATGAGAGCAGTTTCGAATTTTTTTTCTAAGTATAAAAACATGTCATGATTTTAGTTATTATTTTTGTGCGATACTACCCACTGAAGGGTTAGCAGTAGAGGTGGCAATTTCAATCCAATCCACCAATCCAATCCATCAATCCATTAAAAAAATCCACCTAATCCAATCCATTTAAATCCAATCCATTTGATCCAAATCCAATTGGATTGGTGGATTCATGGATTGGATCCATGGATCATTGGCAAATTACGATTTAGTACCTATAATTTTTATTTTTTACATTTTGGTACCTAAAATTTAATTTTTTATACGCAAAATATCATTGGAAAATTACGTTTTGGTACCTAAATTTTTTCATTGTGACATTTTAGTACCTAAACTTTTTACATTTTACATATTGGTCCTTGATTGAAGATGTCATTTGGATTCATGGATAATCCACCAATCCACTTGATCCAATCCATGAATCCACCAATCCATTAGATCCAATCCATTTGATCCATGGATCCACCAATCCAATCCACCAATCCAATCCATTTGCCACCTCTAGTTAGCAGGGCAGTTACGAGCATGAGGGAACCAAATTAAATATAAAAAAAACTAGAATTCAAATTTTGCATTGAATTTGAAACTCTCACTCACAAAACTGAATTACAGATTGGTTTAATGATGGTATGTTAACGCAATTGACTGCACGCTTATCTTTTTGGCCTGGCCTTGAACTTGCAAAATTATAAGAACCAGAAATGAGCTTCCAAGCTCCGAGGTTCAAGTATGCCCATCTGCAAAAATAGGACTCTGCTTAGCATTAAAACTCCCTTTTCCAAGTCACTTGCCCTATAGACATTCGCCAGATGCGCATTGTTCTTACAAACGTAGCACAACACTGGCCTGGGGATCTCAGCTTTTCTTGTGCTCAATGCCTCCTCTGCATATGATAAAGCGATGACATAAATCAGCTAGAGATATACCCAAAAGATACTACAGCAGCAACATTCATCACGCCAAAAAAAAAACAGAAAGAAAGAACTCCCCATGGCAAGGATCGTTACAACAGCATCCATACTACCCATAAACAATATATTATAGTTTGTTGCTTAAGCTATCCTCTAAATGATCTCAGCCTCGCAGCACGCATGCGCAATTTGTTTTTCAACTCTTAGTTCTATGAACATCCATACAGAGTACAAAACGTAGGAAGTCAAACTTGGGACTTACACAAACAAGGAAAAGCTATCATCAACATTTCTGAGCATACCTTGTGTTTCTTATGCTTCCTCATTCCAACACTGCCATTTCTAGCTTTCTGTTGTTCACCAGCACCATCATCCAATGGTAAGAATTTGATATCGAAACCATCAGTCAAACCATCCAACCTGCCAGAAAGGAATGGAAACAGGAAAGGTTGTCGAGAATTGTCACAGAAATCTGAATAACAAGCCCAACCGCTTGCTCAGTAAATAATATCTCAACTTCTCAGAAATTAACCCCAAAAGATGCAAACATACCCGCCTCTTGACCTCTTTAAATTCCTCAACTCTTTCTTCTCCTTCTTTGTGATAGGCGCACGGATGAATTGGTCTTCTTCCTCTTTCTCGCGTGCTTCCCAGTTTCTCTGATATTTTTCAAACTCCCTACTCTCGTTTCCAAAGGATTCTTTAACCTGGTATGTGCACATACAATAAGTGGTGATCTCAAGTGCCTGAAAAAGTTTATCCAACAAAAAGAATAAATAAAGCGGAGAAAGGACTAACCTCTTCAGGCTTCCCCTGCAAGTCATCAAACAAATCTTTTTGGAAGCCCAGTCTTGACCGTCTAACCATCTCTTTCTCTTTTCTCACTTCATTCCTTTTTTCCCTCGATATTCTGCCACCTTCCATTTCTACTGGGACCAATTTTGGTGGCCGATATACACCAACAGCATCCTAGGACACATAATCACCAAATTAGCTAACAAGAAATGCCAGATATTCTTTCATCCAATGACAGCCTAATTTTTAAAACGAAACTCACCCCAGAGGCGACCACAGATTTGTTATTAAGCATATCTGGGTTGGGACGATACTTCAAAAGATCCTCAGAATTCCTAGGAGCCTCTGTATTGCTATTGACATTTACTTGATCCACAGGCTGTGAAGCACCCTTTGTGAGCTTTTGAATTTGATATTCAAGTTTTTTGTCAATTGGTCGTATCTGTTAAGAAAACATCACAAATTGATATCCCCATTTCTGCAACAAACATTCATCAAGTGAACAAAGAGGCATAAAAGGGAGACAAAGATGAACATACCTTCTCCAAAAACAACCTCGTCTCGACAAGCTTTTGAACAACAGGGTGATTGTCAACTGACAAACCCTTTGCCTTACGAAGTATGTAGTACACCAGCGATTGGCAATAGTTAAGAAGCAACAAATTTTTAGCCTCTAGGTAGCTTATCCCATCAGCTGTAGGATAATTATTAGCTTTTACCTGCTCATCAAGAAGGGGTAAAAATATTCATTTTCAACAAGAAGAAGTTAAATCATCAGGGGAGGACTTCAATTGAACTTTCATTCACAGCGTAAGACTCCTCGCAACTCCAGCATTCAAAAGTAAGATCCTCAAAACCTAAAACCCTTTACCTTAGCAGTCAAGCTTTCAACTTTACTTCTCACCAAATCCAACCCTCCTTTCATTTCTTTCAGTACTGATGCTAACTGAGGATTGTCCCTGAGCCCAAAAAGCAAAATTAGATGGTAGCTAAGAACAATTCAATCTCATATCAGCAAAAACACAAAGAAAGGTTACTCTTTTATCCTCTGGTTCAATCCTTGATCGGCCATCCTGCCCTCCTTTGCTTCCCAACTTCCTGAATCCTGATTCAAATAGAGACCAATTCAGCTGAAGAACAAAATAACCAGAATGCCAGAGCTAGAACTATATCCTATATGCTCTGAGAAGCAGACCGCACGCCATGCTAGAGAAAAAAGAGTGGTTCAATCAGCATGAACCGGTGCATTTGTTTGAAACATCTGTTCAAAGAAAGATTTAAACTCACGTAGTACCTATCTTTAGGTAAACAGATCCCAAAACTCTAATATCCTGTTGGAATTCTCTACCTTCATCGCAAACAAATAAACACAAAATAGCTAAAGAAAATCTATCGTTCAAATACTATCAGCAGCAACCACACAGGCTAAATACTAATCCCCACAGATTTATACAGTTTCCATCCATTTCGAAAAGAGCAGACGAACAACTATAACATAAGAGTGAACTTGAGAAAGGACGAAACCAAGTCCAACCCGAGCCTCACCATGAATCTCAAGTAGGAGCCGCCTACAATTCAAAACCCTAGCTAAAAAAAGAATCTCCAAGCAGGGCGTGGACAGTAGAATCCCCATAGAAGAAAAATCAACAGGCCTAAATCACATACAAATACTTGAAACCCTAGCTGTCTCTCACCTTGGCTAATTCACTGAATTAGCTCGTTCAATCAAGCAGCGATTTCCCCTTGGCACTTCCGGAAGGAGGTTAACGAACAAGCTTCGAACAGAAGAGTTGAAACTTGCAAATATTTCCGTGGGAGTATAAATATTAGTCGACCTTCCCCCCTCCTGTTTTGTGGGCTTTGGGCCCATGGGCTTGTGTTAGGGGCCGTAGCTGCCGTAACCTACACCGATCGCGTTTCATCAGGGCCTCTCCAGATACAAAAAACCTGATGGATTGGGATTTTTTCCACAATTTGGGAAATCGTTAGGAACCATGACGACCATGGCCAGAGCGGCGAGAGCGACTGTGATCCGCGGTGCATCTCCCGGCGGCGCAAGTTCTGCCGCACTGAACAAGGCGAAGGCCAGCGGCGTCGGCGGCGGCGGCCACTTTGAATCGCGGTCCGGTGATTCGAGTGGTACAGCCAATCTCAAAGGAGAGAACGCAGCAGGTGTTGTTTTAATTTGTTTGTTTCTTTGTGCGCACGAAAACTTGCAGAATCTGGAATCAGAAGGCCCCGCGTGTTGATTCGATTCTCTTTCTCTGCTGTTGAAATGCAGGTTCGGCGAGCGAGCATCACGTTAAGGCAGCTGCGATCGCGGCGCACAACTACAGACCTGGTGGAGGAGCTTATGCAGAGTTTCTCAAAGATGAGGAGGTTCTGGAGAAGGTGAGGTTTCGATTGAAGGGGAATAAGATTGAGTGTGTACATGTTTTGGGGACGTTTTATTATGTTGATCTGCCTGTGTGTGAATTGGCAGTGTTTGAGCATGTGGGAGCATCCCGACCGCACTTCCTGCCAGAATCGAGCTTCGACTCTTGTGAAACATTTGGAAGACAATGCTAAAGGTAAAAGCTTTTGTTTTTGTCCATTGGCAGAGAAGAAGGGTTTAGACTTTGGATTTGTATCTGTACTTAATTGAGATGTCGGTTATTTGATCAAATGGAGTTGCCAACGGGCTGAATCAAACAGATTAAATTTTGTTTGTGAGTTTTCAACAATGTTGTCAAATCGGTTTATAACGTTATATTGGTATGACAAGTGGTATGATCTGATTGGTGGTACGACCCGTTTAGTTCATGACGGTTTTTGCAAAGCAAATCGGAACTTGGAAATCATTAACAATAAATGACTTTAGAAATATATATAATATATGATAATGAATGGTATACTCCAAGTGATTAGTCAATTACTTATTTTTTTATTAAATTGAACTTCCGGTTTGAGTTTAGAGAATCGGGGCTGTGGTTTATCCATTAGAGATTAGGGAACAATAACATACCCCAAACTCGATTTAATTCATGGTCTAGATAGAGATATCTCGCTAAGAGTACCTGGAGTATAGAGTATAATACTCCAGAAGTACACCAGTTTGAACCTGTAATATATATATTTGAAAACAATCTCTTTAAAAATCTACTTCTCCCGTATTTAAATACAACATTTAACACCAATATCCAAAAGTTTATACTTGAATCCAACAGATAACATAAACATCTAAACATTCACAATTGAATCCAACAAATAATATCAACATTTAACTTTCCATTGAAGAAAATAAAAAAAAAACTATTTTAGAATCAATTAAATTCACCATTTTGTCTAAAAATCAGAAATCGATCAATGCCGATCATGCTTGATTCTAGTATTCTACCCCGCCGGCATGCCACGAACATGACAACCATGATTTTCAGCTGTAAAGGGAAAAGGGGGATTGGGTGCAGAGGAAACAAACTGAAATACTAAAGTTGTTTTTCTACTTTCAACCTTGTTCAGGGATGACCATTAATGCAGAGCCGGTATTTGTGCCAACCTCCAACCGCAAGAAGATTCAATCCAGCTTCTGGGAAGAGCTCCTTGAAAAGGTTTGTGATTTGCTCACCGTTTAATATCCATGGAAATCGAGTTAATTCCACCTTTAAGATGGAACCAAAGCTCTGATTTGTAAGCCTTGTGCTCTCCACTGGCTGCTGGTTCTGTGCAGTGTGTGAAGGAGCATGGAAGTTTCACGCAAAAGTGCGATATCCAAAGGCAAAGGGTGTACGAGTGCTTTGGCTCTTATTATGACGGTGGTATTATTGCTTAGAAACTGATTCTGTCTGCACAAGTAATTGATGATTGAAATGCAACATTGTTATTAGCACTTAATTGTTTTTTTGGAATAAAATAGGAAGTCGGGCTACTAAATTATCTGCAGCTAAATAAAGTAGCAGAATGTCTGGATGAAATACGCTGCTTGTTGTTGGTAGTGAACAACACTATTTGTACACATGCTTAGTTCATTCTGTTATCCAAACTCCTATTTGTACACATGCTTTCTCGACAGCATTTGTGCACATGCTTTCTTTGATAGAATATGTTCCTTTCGACCTGCTACCGCATTCCAAATTAAATTCCTTTGCATATTTGTCCGTTTCCTCCCACGCCAAGTTCCAAAGAATATGTGACAACTCGTTTCAGATGTACATACTTCGGATTCGTACGGGTACTTTGGATGTAGCATTTTGGCTTTGGGCATGTGGTATTTTGTTTCAAAATGTTGCATTAATTTAGAATATGACATGTCGTATGGCATTTAAATTCTAATGATCTTATTTGGGTTGGATATTCCCATGGTATGTTATGGTATTTTATAAAAACTTGAGTTGTTGAGAGAGATTTAATAATGAATCTTATATCAAACAATTATTCATGATTTAGTTATTCGATCGTTTTTGAATTATGTCAAGAACCGTATTATCAATAACTAGAGTTGTTGGGTGAGGTTCAATAATATATCTTATATCATTTACTAACACGTCTCTTTATAAAAAAGCCACATTATATGAAATTGAAGTTTGCACAAATCTGAATATTATGTGATTAAAATGAGGTCGCAAAGATTCAAACACAATACCTTTAACTCAACTATTATCAATTAGACATAGAATTATCAATGCACTAAAATTTTCAAATGCAATGCAGTGTCAAAGCAGATCTACCCCTCATTGAATAAGGTCGACATAGATATTGTGATGCAGGGTTGACGATCGATCACAGAGAAATTAAAGGGATTCCACTTCACACAATTATTTTGAAACGCTAAATAGCCTTGCACCACATTTACCTATTTAATCATTCAGACACATGGGGAAAACAGTAATTTTGGATGCTGCCAATATTAGTTACTGATTTCAGGAGACATTTTCTTCCTTGTGTTAATTAAAAACAAATTCTTTCTTGCCTCTTCCGCCTACCTCTACGTCTCAGAAAACACACTCATTGCCACTAATGGTAAATCGTAACATTCATTAGGAAACATTATTGCTGCTAAATGTCTGTTTGAATGAATTTATGACACCTAAATGATCATTAGTTAAGATATTTCTTGGATGAGTTGAGATTCAATGCAAGCCCAGAATAGAAACCCACACGTGTATAAGTCTATACACTGTGGATTGGTGGCGTTGCCCCCCGTGACTTCTAGGCGCAGCCAGATAGTCTTATTCAACTCATATCCACCATAACTTGACTCCTCCCTTCTGAAATATCTGATGTACTCTGATCCTTCTCTCCTTCCTGCCATCAATGCCCCTTGTGGCAGATTCATCACCCCACTTAGAAAAAATGTATGCATTAGTTACTAACCATGTCCTGATCTATCAATCATTATTTTTTTTACAAGTGTATTGATAGGACAAGAGGAATAGGAGGGATTCTAGACTCCAGTGATGACCGTGGATGGGGAAGGACGGGTACCTCAATAGCTATACATGCTTGTACGGCTACGGGGCTGGTCGCCTGATCCACTAATTCTTATGTGTTATTTGCAAAAGAATGTCGCTATCTAACTCTTTTATAAGAAGACATAGAGAAAATACTTTATAAATGAACGAGAAATACAATAGTGGGAACAATGAATTATAAATAGTTCAAAGATCGAGTCTTAAAAAATTTCTTCGAGATAAAAATACGATTTTAAAAAGGTTAACAGATGATATATATATATAAGTAAATATTACTGCAAATCACGATAAAACGAGAGTCGAGAACAAAACGACACAAATCTATCAGAAAACACAGCTAATTATTCTCCCCCTCTCTCTCTCCCCCCCGTAACTTTTCTTACAATCTAAGCCTAGCTGCCTGCCTGGTGTATAAAACCCCAACTTCCAACACTACCGCCCCCAAAAAAAAAAACGCCGACATCCAATGGCTTCAGCGTGCATCGACAAGTGCGTGAAGGACACGCGAGACCCGCGGGTTCGGCCGGTTCGGGCCACCTACGTGAACTTATACAAGTGGCCGGAATCCGACGCCGAGTTCATAAAGTCCGTCCGGCGCGTGAGCCAGGGCGTACAGCACCAGCCGCCGAGGGTGGTGGACAGTATCTCCTGCAGGCAGATGTATCTCAGGAGCTACACTTTCTCCCGCAAGGAAACCGTCCCGGAGAAGACCCGCAGGTGCTTCGGCAGGGTCAAGGACAAGGTCGGCCGCCGGAAGGGGACCGAGGGCGGCGCCGGCGGCGGCCGACGAAAGGGCAGGAAGTGTTTGGTTCTGAGGAAAGTGAAGGAGGTGTCCTGCCGGACGTTTTACAGGATCTTCCACAGGTTGTTGTCTTGTGCTGCTAGCGTAGATGTTGTGGATCACAAAGATTGAAGTTTTGAAAACAAAACCCTAATTTTCTATCTTCTCTCCTTTTCATTTGAGTTTTTCTTTTTTAAATAATTTCTTTTGGGAGTTTAATTATGTTGAGATTTTGTTATGTTTTTCTTCTTCTTCTTCTTCCTGCGATGATAATTTTTGTAATGTGTGTAACTCCAATCTGTTGTTAAACTAGTAATTAAGGGAGGATGTAATTATGGAGATTTATAAGCTTTGGTGAATTTTTTTATTTTTATTTTGCCTCGTGTATGATTATTTGTTCCATTTTTATGGAAGGTTTTCTCCATAAGTTTCATGAAATTTTAGGTTAGTCTGTGCAAATTTTAATGGAGAGTCGAGAGGGGCAGTTTTGTAGCCGGTTTTCTGGCTTCCCGGGGTCACTCGCTTCCTGTTGGGTTACAATGTAATTGACATTCCTGACTCGTGTTTGGTTTACTGGTTGTACTACGACACTATCGGGGTTCAGACCCCACGTTTGGTCATTAATTAAGGGTTGGGGCGCCCCTTAGCGCTCCGTTTGCTACCCAAAAAAAAAAAATTAATAATAGAGAGAGCTATTGACGATTATGATTATATGTGATAATTTAACGAATTTAGATCAATCTTGTTCGATTCCAGTAAACACCCTACGAGTACAATATTACTTTGTAATGGAGTAGCACTTGTCGTATCGACCTAGTGATGGAAGGGTAAGTAGGTGGTGACTGCTGGTATCTCTACTGCAGAAAGCTGTGTGAAAGAGTTCACCTAGGATTCCAAGTCTCCTAGGTGAAGAGCTCAATTAGGGTTACTTTTCCTCGTTTCTCAATCTCAATTTTTATATTACTACCGCAATTGAGGGAAAGTCAAAGTAGAAAGAAAATTTGAGAGAAAAAGCCTAATGTCGCGGCCCTAATTCTCACATATTTCCCACTAGGGCAAGTTGACATGTGTATATAATAAATAAAAAGCCTAGCTAATTACGTAATTACGAAATGCATGCTTGATTTGAGAGGAACAAAAAGCAAATCCCAGTCTCAACTCTCAATGGAGCTCATGATCATTAAGTTGGTAATGATCAATTGTTTCATTCGGGACAAAAAATGGTGGTTCGTCAGGTCCTACGGGAAACACCAGCAGTGCCCTTCTTCATCATTATCATTATGATCAATCAATGGTTTGATGGTAGGACTTGCTAAATTTTGTTATACTTTAGAGCTTTTTGGTATTTCATTAGCTGATCTACGTACGCTTTCATGATGAAAATAAATATGTCGATGATCTATTCCAAAATATAAATAAAAGTTTACAAGTGATAAAGAAGTACTGTCAAATTCCCTTAAGCAATAGTTCCAAATTGATTGATATTGATGTGACTTGAATCGGACTATCAGCCGCTACGACTGGTAATCGGGGGTCTCGCTGTTATTTGGGTTCGGGTTCTGGGTCTGGTCTGTAACAGTTTCCTTTGCCATATTAGATTAGGTTTAGACCTACATGGAGAAGTACTATAAATACTTTTCATACTCCTCTGTAATATGTAATCTCCTCGTTATAGTGAAATTGGCTCTCTCTCTCTCGCCCGTGGACGTATCTAACACACATCGTGTTAGTGAACCACGTAAATCGTGTGTCGTGTTTTTCGATTCTCGCTTTCGTATTCTTGCTTTGTCGATTTCAGCGATTTCTCGATCCGTAGCAGTGCGTTTATAACAATTGAATACAGTAGTAGCACCTCTTCATAAACTCGAATATTATATAAACTCGAATATTCTTGCTGATGACAATTGCTGCCTCGCTGGTTATTGGGGTGGTTTGGATGGATCAATTATAAAACGAGACAATTTGACCAATTGTTTTATTTTACAAAATGAGTCATTTAGAACGAGTCAATTCAGATTACCTGCTCTCACCCCAGACAATTATAATTGGGCTCAAAATGAGTCAAATTAGAATTCCCCAGCCAAATTGCTTCATCCAAATTTTCTGGTGTCAAAACGAATTAATCTAGCAGAATTGTCTTAAAACAAGACAATTATGTCAAATTGATCCAATAGAATTAATCATCCAAACCAACCCTGATTTAGATTATTACAAATGATGATCGCACCCACCAGACGCCACTGCAGCGGAAGAGAGGATTGTGGGTCTAGGGGATTCATCACTATATACTATGCTTCTCAGACAAGTTACGTGCATGCTTCTGAGTTCTGTTCTGTCCATGGCTGCCATCATTATCACATCCACTGAGTAGATGTTAATTACAAAATATTGCTCATAACTCATACCTAATCCTCTGGCGTACACCTGTTTAAATATCATGTGTATTATACACGTCGCAATCATGAATGTGCAACTATTGTTTTTGTCTAATTTATGGCGTGGAAGTAGGTGTTAGAAATATGATCGACCTGATTTAAGGTCAAAACTTAAAAGGACGGATCCATCACTTCAAGACTTACGAAAAATGAATAGTGTTCACGACTCTATCAAAATCCTAATCATTTGATAGTTAGTTCTAATTTGCCTCTAATATCATAACCAACTTGCATAATTTTGATAGCTAGTTCTAACTAATAAGATAATGTATGTCTCCTTGAGATGATGGCAATGGGGACAATTTTAGATAAGTTTACTATATTACAAACTTTCTCAATACATTCTCATACACTTTCTCATACATTCTCATACATACTTGAACTTTCCCATATACAATAATTAGTGAGGAATATTGGTGTATGATGGAGAATGTTAAGGTATAGCGGAGAATATTAAGGTATAGCGGAGAATGTTGGTGAATGTTAACGTAAGTTGAGGAATTCAACTACGACTTTTTCCTATAAATAGGGAGCACCCCTCCCCCTTTTTCAAAACAACAAGACACACACACCCAACATAAGTCGCTTACGACTACTTCACACAAGACAACTCACACACAATACACACTCTCTCTAATTTCTCTCTCTAAAAACGTTTTCTCTCTCCTCTCAATCTCCCAAAACGTGTTAAATCTCTAAACACTCAACACACCCTCAATTTGGCGGACTAAGCCATGAAATCATGGATAGTCTCCACCGGGCGGCACTAAATAGCTGACGACGCTCAATTACGACCGTGGGATCGAACCAGGTCTAACGTCATCGTATTTATTTTGTTCCATTCAGGTTACTAATTTGAGCGTCGGATGAGGTTCCAACCAGGACCCCCCCCCCCCCCCCCCGGTTGGGACCTTTTTTCTGGTATTCGCACGGAGCTGGAGGTGGTTAAAGGCTTTGGGAAATCAGCGCTCTCCGGACCTTAAACATATTAAAGCAGGCTGCTCTAAGCTTGGCATCAACAGTTTCGATCTTGCGCGAAATACTTGATTTTTGTGTCATGGCTATGCCTGACATGTTGTCACAGACTCACAGTGGATAATGTTTAGACCATTTTCACTTTGCTGCAAATCAGAAATTAATCTTTTTAGTCATACCGCTTCACATGTTGCATCTGTAGCTGCAATATATTCTGCTTTCGCTGAAGATAAAGGCAAGTATTCTTTTTCTTTGAACTTCAGGAAATGGGTTTTTGAACCTAGACATAATATATACCCCGATGTGCTTTTTCAATCATCTAGTGATCCTGCCCAGTCACTATCGATAAATCCAGTCAACTTGTTTTTGCTTCTTTCTTGTAGTTAGGCCCAATCTCTTTGAAATCCATTTTGCTAAAAATATTGATCAATTATGTTGTTCCAAACTCTCGGTGCTTGCTTCAACCCCTACAAAGCCTTTCGGAAATGATAGACTTTGTATTCTTATTCTTTCGTCTCATGGCCTCGTGGTTGTTCCACAAAGACTTCTTCTTCCAGTTATCCATTTTAAAATGCTAATTTGACATCAAAATGGAATACTGGTAACTTCAATTGAGCACCTAGAGCAAGAACTATTTTGATGGTCTCCATCCTTGCTATTGGTGCATAAGTCTCGTGAAAATCAATACCAAGCTGTTGTGAATTGCCATTTGCCACCATTCGAGCTTTGTACTTCTTGATAGAACCATCTTCATTGAATTTGATCTTATAGATCCATTTGAGACCTATAACCGGCTTGTCCTACAGTAGATCAACAAGCTCTCATGTCTTGTTTTTCTCGATCATGGAGATTTATGCATCTATTGCCTCGTTCCAAACTTCATCTTTGGTTGCTTCTTCAAAGACCTGAGGTTCACAAGAAAAATATGCAACATGACTTGTTTCATTAATTTCTTGTAAAGACCTTGTTTTTAACGGAGGTGAATCTGATTTGTTACGACGTCTCTGAAGTTGTCTCCTTCTAGGCTAGGTGCATAATTTATTTATGGACTTGCAACTGGATGTGGTTGGTTGCTGGTGTCTTCTGGAGTTGGTAAATCCTCCAACGTTTCATAACTTGGTAGGTGATTGTAAAGACGATAGCCTTTGGATTCATCACTGTAGCTAGTGAAGATCAACTTCTCTCCCTTATGGTCAAATTTATCTCTGTTTGGGGTAGAGATATGTGCATAAGTTATACACCCAAAGACTTTTGGGTGATCTACTTGTGGCCTCCTGTGGTGACATGCATGTACCAATGTCTTGTTCCGAAATGCTTTGGTTGGTGATCTATTGAGAATGTAAATTGTTGTATTGACCGCTTCTGGCCACAAGTTGTTGGGAAGATTTTTGGCTTTGAGCATACTTCTCGCCATCACAATCGTGCAATTTTTCTGTTCTGCCACGCCATTTTATTGTGGTGTGTAATTGACAATCAGCTGCCTTTTGATTCCATTATTGCAGCAATACTCCATGAACAGAGTATAAATAAATTCTCCTCCGAGATCTATTTGGAGAGTTTTGATTTGATGGTTGTTTCCTTCTCAGCTATTGCTTATAATTGAAGGAACTTGGGAAAAGCTTCTAGCTTTTACTCCAGAAAGAATACCCACATCATTCTAGTGAAGTCATCTACAAATAGTAGAAAATATCTTTTACCGCTGAGTGATTGTGTTCTGGTTGG